TTGGACCTTAGTTGAAGGTATAACTAAAACCTCAGAAATCAAACTATCCAGATGTAGTGGTACATGCCTTTAGTTTCAGCACTTGGGAGTCAGTGCCAGGATAGCCAGGACTTCATAGAGAGACCCTGTCTCAGAGAGAGAGAGAGAGAGAGAGAGAGAGAGAGAGACATTAAACTACAGATAAGGGAGGGGACTGCTGTGCTCAGGGACTTATAACATCTTGTGCAGTTTTGAGAACCACTGTTCCAGAAAAGGGAGCTTTGAAGGTCAGTTTGATATAGACATGGAAAAAAGGGAGTCCTTGTGTCCTGAGGGTCCTTGTGGACAGAAATGGAGCTGAATCGAGTCCCTGGTGGAAGGACAGTGGCGAGAGAATGACTCGGGATACCAGGCTGTGAGAGGAGTCTTGTGAGGACCGTGTATTCCCAGGGACGACCTTGATATTTGCCGTGATGTGTGGGAAAAGCTGGAATTAGCTCAACGTTGATAGATGCTCTTTTCCAGCTGTAATGGTGGCTATCCCTCTGGAGCATGGAACTTCTGGACCAAAAAAGGCCTGGTTTCTGGTGGACTCTACAATTCCCATGTAGGTGAGTATGTGCCTACAACCCCTGTCTCTCAGGTGGGTTTCATGGGCAGGTGTTGGTGGCTTCCTTTTCTGTTGTAAAGGGAGGGTCAGCGGTAGAGGGGCCAGCTGATTGATAATTAGCCAGACCACCTTCAGTACAGGAGCAGCCCCTATGGGAAGTAGACGTGGTCTGGCTGCATCCCAGCTCTACCTGGCCTGGGGAAGGAAGCTTTGCATTGTGGGTTGCAGGCTGATGTCATCTTGTCCCCTCCATCTCTCAGGCTGCTTACCATATACCATACCTCCCTGTGAGCACCATGTCAATGGCTCCCGGCCCCAGTGCACTGGAGAAGGAGGAGACACTCCCAAGTGTACCAAGAGCTGTGAGGCTGGCTATTCCCCATCCTACAAAGAAGATAAGCACTACGGTAAGCCAGAGCCTTCTGAGGGGGGAGGAGGCCAATGCTATTGAGTGTTAAGAATCCAGCACCAGGGGTGGAGGGGGTGTGGGCTTTTAATCCCAGCACTTGGGAGACAGGCAGGCAGATATCTGAGTCCATGGCCAGCCTGGTCTACAGAAAGAGAGTTCCAGGACAACAGGGCTACACAGAGAAAGAGCAGCAGGAAGAAGGGAAGTCGAGTAATTCACACCTGGCTCCCGGGCAGAGCTGCACACTCCACACTCTGGTCCATACTCTGCCCTGCCTCAGCCCACTTGAGCTCTAGGGGACTAGGCAGACCATTGTTTCGCAAAGGTTAGAACCTGGTTTTAAACCGTAGGGTCTTCTTGGCCTCTTCTGGAGGGCTAGAGAGGTTGGAGGCACCTTCTCACTTGCTTTGTTCCTTCTGCAGGGTACTCTTCCTACAGCGTGTCTAACAGTGAGAAGGAGATCATGGCGGAAATCTACAAAAATGGCCCAGTGGAGGGTGCCTTCACTGTGTATTCAGACTTCTTGACTTACAAATCAGGTATCTATTGATTTCAGGGTCCACTTGAGCCAGCAGGTCTCACTGGGAGGTAGGCAGAGGCTTTGGGAGAGCAGAGCCCTGGGACTCAACCACCCTCCCCACTCTTCCGGGCAGATAGATAGTCAGCTGATGGTGCCCGTCTGATGACGGTCACGGCTTCCCACTGCTGTGCTCACTGACTCCCTCTGAGCGTAGTCTCCACAGGGCCTTTCCATCCCTGCAACCCAGCTCAGCCCCCTGCTCTGCGGATGATTGTTCTGCCATAGCAGCCATAGCAGCCATAGCAGCCACTCCTGTCCTGTGTCTCATCCACATTTGACATTGTCATTCTTTATCTTTGCAAAGGCCTAGGTCACCTCAGCCTTCCATGTAGCGGGGATCACAAATGTGACTTGTGATTAGCCACTCATAGCGTCTGTATAGTCAGGGTCGTCTAGAGCAGTGGTTCTCAACCTGTGGGTTGTGATCCCTTTGGGTCAGTTTGTTAGCACCGCACTACGCTCTAACCAACTGAGCTAACTGGCCAACTCCTTTGAGTCAGTTTGTAACAGTGAAAATACATCCTGCTTATCAGATTCTTACATTATGATTCGTAACAGTAGCAAAATTACAGTTTATAAGTAGAAACAAAAATAATTGTATGGTTGGAGGGTCACCACAACACAAGGAATTGTATTAAAGGGCCGCAACATTGGGAAGGTTGAGAACACTGCTCCAGAGGAACAGAACTTACAGAATGAATGGATCTATCATCTATCTATCTATCTATCTATCTATCTATCTATCTATCTATCTATCTACCTACCTACCTACCTACCTATCTTTCTCTGTCTGTCTGTCTGTCTGTCTGTCTATCTAATCTATCTATCTATCTATCTATCTATCTATCTATCTATCTATCTATCTATCATCTCTCTCTCTCCCTCCCCCCCCTCCATCTAGCTATCTAAAGGGGATTTATTAGAATGACTTACAGGCTGTGGTCCAGATAGTCCAACAATGGCTGTCTATAAATGGAAGGTCTAAGAATCCATTAGTTGTTCAGTCCACGAGGCTGGATGTCTAAGCTGGTCTTAAGTATACACCGGAATCCCAAAGAAGTCTAATACATGAAGGAATGGACTTGCTAGTGAGAACAAGCAGGCAGAAAGAGAGAGAGAGCTTCCTTCTTCCATGTCCTTCCTATAGGCTGCCAGTAGATCAGACCCAGATTAAAGGTAGATCTTTATTTTAAAGCCAACCAAGTGATATTTTTGTAGGATCCCATTTTAATATTAATTTGCATACTTAAGTGTGTTGGGCTTCCCAAAATATTTCTACAGTGCCGGTCATGGTGGATATAATTCCAGCACTCAAAAGGCAGAGGCAGGCAGACCGCTGAGTTTGAGATTAGCTTGGTCCACACAGTGAGTTTCAAGTCAGCTAAGCTATTTAATAAGACCCTTTCTCAAAATACACACACACACTTAGTCAGGTATACTGGCAGCCATGTGTAATCCCAGCATTCAGGAAGCAGAGGCAGGATTATGAGTTTGAGACCAACTTGGGCCTCTTAGACCCTTTCTCAAACACACACACACACACACACACACACACACACACACACACACCCCTTCTATACATATATACATATATACACATACATATGTTTATACATATGTTTATACTATGGATACCCTTGTCATAGTCACTGTTCCGCTGCTGTGAAGAGACACTCCTTTGCTTACTCACTGTTCTATTGCTATGACGAGACACCATGGCCAAGGCAACTCTTATGAAAGAAAGCATCTAATGGGGGCTGGATTACAGCTTTAGAGGCTAGTCCATTATCATCATGGCAGGGAGCATGTTGGCACACATGCTGGAACTGTGAGAGCTGCATCTTAGTCCACAGGCAGACGGGGTGGGAGGAGAGTATGGGGCAGGATAGAGACAACTAGGCCTGACTTTTGAAACCTCAACACCCACCCCCACTGACACACAAGACCACAACCACATCCCTTATCCTTCTGATTCTTTCAGATAGTGCCATCCCCTGGGATTCCATGGCCTTGCTCATCCTGGGCCCTTCTCCAGTCTTCTAGAGATTTCTGTGTAGGGGAGTGATTGGTTCCTGTCAGCCTGTTGCTTCTGACTGGGTAGCCAGTTGTCTCTGGGGACTCCAGGCAGGCAGTAGCCTGCGTGTAGTCAGGATTGCCTTTTTCTTCCTTAGGAGTATACAAACATGTGGCCGGTGACGTGTTGGGCGGTCACGCCATCCGCATCTTGGGCTGGGGAGTAGAGAATGGAGTCCCCTACTGGCTGGTAGCCAACTCTTGGAACGTTGACTGGGGTGATAATGGTGAGTAGCAGTCCTCTTGCTCAGACTACATAATGAGCCATGAGCCCCTTTGCTCCATTGCCTGAGGTGTGGCCCTGACTGCCTAAGTGTGTAGATACTTTGGACCATTCTGAGCCCCAGCTCCTCATGGTTCTGTATACAGGTTCCATTGCTCAGGCAGCGTGTGGAGGGAACCAAGGGATGTCTCTTAGATGATGCTGGGGTCCGCGTGACTCACCCCTAGGTCTGGATGAATCTGAGTATACCAACAGGTGTCAAGACCCAAGGCTGCTGGACATGGTGGCCGCAACCCTGCACTCCTGTAGCTGAAACACTAAGGATGCTGAGGCTGAAGGGTGGAGTTTGTGACCAGCTTGGGTTACAGAGTGGGACACCATCTAAAAGCAAGGGTTAGACCAAACCCAGAGCATACTTTGAAAGCACTTTTTTTCCCCCTCCCCAGGCCTCTTTAAAATCTTCAGAGGAGAAGACCACTGTGGAATTGAATCAGAAATTGTGGCTGGGATCCCTCGCACTGACCAGTACTGGGGAAGATTCTAATGTGCTGTGACCCGGTTGGCCAGTCCTTAGGGAATTTCCCCTAAATTTAGCTGCCCAGGCTGGGAGTGAGGCAGATAGGACAGTCTTTGATTCGTTGAATTCACCTACGATTCACGAAGCTTCCATCGAGGCTTGAGCAACTGGTCCAGAGCGACCTGCCATCAGAGCTGTCCTCTTCATTCTGTCCTTAGCTGGCTCCCTCCCAGCCTGTTCCACGGCAGTGACACAGCCTGCATCCTAGCCTCCCCCTAGACCAGTGCTGTTTGTAGTGCCTGCTGCTGTGGCTCTGCCTGCCACCCCTGCCACCCCCACCCCAGTTCCCCAGTTTCTCTAGAGCAGGATAGGCTTTGGTTGCAAGTTTTCCAAAAAAATGGAACACCAACTTCATGATGAGGACAAATGCCACCTGTCAGCTGCACCTTGAAGCCCGTCACTTCCTTAGTCGGTGGCAAGCATTGATGTTGCCCGGTGCAGTTCTCTGGAGAAAGCTACCTTTTCCTGGGACACCGTGTCCATCGCCACATTGGTGATGTGGCGAGCCCTCCCTGGTCTTGTCCTCAGCCAATGCTTTTTCAATAGGAGTTTTTATTTTTTTTGTGCACCTCAACTGAGTATGTGAAACAAACAGGTCTAATTAGTTGAAGAGCTGTACTAGTTCTACAGATTCTCTCCTAATTGTATGGCTTAAAACAAGTGGTCCTGGTTTGCCGGGTGACCTACTGACCTCAGACACACCACAGTGACGCTGGTCTGGCAAGAACCCTCTTTTATGTTGTAGAGTCGCCACTTCACCCTGTCAGTTTAACAAGTTTATTGACTGTGCCAATAAACCAGTTCTCCCTCTGCCTGACGTCTGCTTCGTGGCCTCCTGGGCCGCGTTTTCAAGCTATTTGTACCTCTCTCCTTAGTTTCCTATCACCCTCCGAAACCCTTCTCTAAGCCATCCCCAGGGCTGCGCTCAGCCTTGGAGTCTTCCTGCTCGGAGACAGGCGAGCTGCACATTGACTACGCCCGGCATGCTGTGTATATTTCACGTGAGAGCGGACTGTTACCTTCCTAGAGGGCCCCATCTCCTTGGGGTGGAGCCAAAGCTTGTGCACCATGTTTTAAGTTTTCTTGGTCACTGAATTACATGGCTGGTCAAGGAATTCATTTATAAAATCATAGTTTAGTTCAGAGAGAACAGGAGGCTTCCCCCTAATCAGCATTCACTTTATTATCCTGACCTGTTACTTTCCTGCTAAGTGGGAGGGGCTGGTTCTTTCTAGAAGCTGAGGAAGTTTGTCTTCCCCTAAGTTAGGGATCAGAACTATATTGAGGTCTTAAAGCCTGCTGAGTGCTGGAGACGTGAGTCAGAGGTTAACCTGGCTTGGATGCTGGGGCTTCAGTACTGCAAGACAGTTCTTGTCCCTAACCTGCATCAACTAGTTCCTCCTCCGTTGCCTGTCTTAGCTCATCACATGCCCTCCTGCAATTCCATTCCTACCCTAGAGCCTGTGGAGACGGGCCAAGAGAAGCAGCCCAGGAGAGAAACCTGCCTTGTACACTTGGGGACGGCTCTGGATGGCTTCCATAAACAGATTACCTGTGGGTTGTCGCCTGTGCCCAAGTCAATAGCAATGTTCCTTGGGTAAAAAATGACAAATGGGCACTCAGGAAGCAGAGGAAGAGAATCTCTGGGAGTTTGAGGCCTACCTGGGCTGGTCTACAATGAGACCCTGTTTCAAAAAAGTAGATAGAAGAGCATTTCCTTTTCAGCCTGCCCACAGGGCCTTTGATGGTTCAGATTTTACACATCCTTCCCTTTCTACATGTTAAACTGGCGCACTGTGCTGTAAGAGTGCTGGTGTTGCATGTGATCCTCAAACTGAGCCAGGGTCAGTTAGTGCCAGGCCTTCAAGTAGTCATTTGCTGCCTGACTAGGTCATTCTCAGGTACATTAACTTTTGGGCAGTGGTCTTCAAACAGGTCCTATGACCGAAAGCATTCATGCCTCCCAGGAATTCATCAGGCACCATGCTAGACTTACTTGGTCAGAAGTCTGGTTCCAGAGCAATCACGTACACACTGAACCTTAGTGAAAGTTACAGAGATCCTGAAAAATGACGCAGCGGGGGAAACCTCCAAGGGGCTGCTCCAGGTATGATTTGCAGATAATCAGAGGCTCCAGAAAGGTAGACCAGGCCCTTCCAGTGGCCATAATGGCTGGACACAGGTGGGCTTCTGAGGAAGACAGCACACTCCAATGTTTACGGAATCAAGTGGCTACACTGGAAATGCTATAAATTCCATTGAGTCTGAAGCAGACTGGGGCTGTCTCATTGGTAGAAAGAGGGCTTCTCCAACATATGTTCCAAGCAAGACCCTTGGTTCAGTGCCTAGCAACAAAATAACAAATGGGGGGGGGGGGGTAAGGTAGGTGTGTCAGATGTAAACTATTATATGTTTCAGATAAATGGCTTTATAGAAATGTTCCATGCTAAATTAATCTAGATATAAACAAAACTATTTGGAATTCAAGGGGAGCGTGGCATCCTGTGCTTTATTGCCATGGGAAAAGTATTTGGGTTTTGTTAGAGATGGGGTCTTATGTAGCTGACCTCCACAACTGAGAATGACCTTGAACTCCCGATCCTTCTGCCTCTGCCTCCCAGGTACTGGGATTATTGTAAGAAAGGACGAGCTTTTCTGTTTGTGTTTCTTTTGAAGAGAAGTTAAAGAATCATGTAATGCATTACTTTGACTAGTTTCAACAGGGTGATGCTGGTCCGAGGTTGAACCGCAAACAACCAATTAAATGAAGTCTCTATGCCCCGTGGTACCCCAGTCACAGTAAGGAAATCTGTTTGCATAAAATGCTGCATGAACCGCCATGCTGGCTGAGGTACCTCAGTGGTGAAGTCTGCGTACCCAGTAGGCTGAACAGGGGTGCAGAGTGTGCTATACATACATGGGGTCCCCCAAAAGATCAAATGCTGGAAGCTTGGTCCACAGCATGGCAGTGAGACGGCTGAGGCACAGTGCAAGGTTTTGGAGGTACTGTCCTCAAAGGGGGTCAACGCTTGTCTTCCAGAGTTAGTTCTGAGACCAAGAATGGGATGGCTCATTTCTGGAACCCTTGCATTCAGAAAGCTGAGGCAGGGGATCATCATTAAGCTCAAGGATACAGAGATTTCCAGGCCAACCTGAGCTAGTTTAAGACTGTCAACATGCCTGGGCTTTGACTGTCTCTTGCTTCCTGTGCCCTCTCCTGCATGTCTTCCACCAATGTGGTGTTATTACCCATAAGGCCCTCCAGAGACTAAAGATGGGGCCACCTCATCTTGGATCTTCATCCTCCTAGGCTATAAAGGAAATAAACCTCTTTCCTTGGAAAAGCAGCTAGTCTCAGGTGTTGTGTTATAATGGGAAACAAGCCAGCATGTTGCCTAGATTCTCTCTGCTGTCATGCCTGTATCGCTGGCTTCAGATACACAGGTAGCCAGGGGCCATCATGACAATGGAGCAGACCAGGTTAGAATTCAAAACAAAACTACCTTATATAGGAGAACTGATCTTCATGTCTGCCGTCCTTTATCTTGAATTTCAGTATAAAAACATGGGAGGGGAAACTGAAACAAAGGTCTTCAGAGGCTGGTAGGGCAGATGCCAGTGGCAGGCTGGAGCAGCAAGGTGATCTACTGCTCCTCCACAAGTAACACCAGGTAGCCATCAAGCCCTCTGTTGCGGCGACAGATGACGGGGGCCTTAAAATCACTATCATCTGTCTGGTCTTCCAGGTAACCTGCATTTTACAAACTCAGTCATTACAAGGGGTTTTTAATTTGTTACTTTGTGGTGCTGGGGATCAAATGTAGGGCCTTGTGGTAGTTTGAATGTAATTGGCCCCTTAACCCCAAAGGGAGTGGCACTATTAGGAGTGGCCTTGCTGGAGGAAGTGTGTCATTGTGGGGGCAGGCTTTAAGGTTTCATATGCTCAGGATACCGCTCAATGGGTCAACTTCCTGTTGCCTTCTGATCAAGATGTAGCCAGTACGATGTCTACCTCCATGCTGCCATGCTCCTCACTATGATAATGAACTGAATCCCTGAACTATAAACTGCCACCTCAAATGCTTTCTAAGAGTTGCTGTGGTCATGGTCTTTCTTCATAGCAACAGAAGCCCTAACTAAAACAAGCCTTGTGTATATTAGGCAACTATTATACAATAGTCATATTCCAAGTTATATTCCAGCCCTGACATGCTATTATAAAAATCTCAAGATCAGGGGCTGGAGAGATGGCTCAGAGGTTAAGAGCATTGCCCGCTCTTCCAAAGGTTCTGAGTTCAATTCCCAGCAACCACATGGTGGCTCACAACCATCTGTAATGAGGGCTGGTGCCCTCTTCTGGCCTGCAGGCATACACACAGACAGAATATTGTATATATAATAAATAAATAAATATTAAAAAAAAAATCTCAAGATCAAAAGCTTTTACTGGAGGCCACGCTCTGACAAGCGACCAATGGCACTGATGGACGCTTAAGAGCCCTTTGAGTGAGAAAGAGACACCTGCACTCTTGGGAAGCTTGGCAGCCTCACCTAGAACGATGATGAGTAACGCCTTTCACTGTCAAGCTGGTGAGAAAAACAGGAACAAGACGGAAGGAAAAGTCACTTCATTTTCTATTGTGATAGGTATTCAAAGGCTGTCTCAAATTAAATAAATTCAATTATTACTCTAGCCAGGTTCACTAGGGTCTTGTGACCATCACGTGTGGCCACCCCATCTAAAGTGCAGCAGTGAGCATGCTGCCAATGGCTACAAGAGGCAGACCACAACCCAACAAGCACCAGGCTGCTGGGGGCAGGCGTCCTTTCCTCCGCAGTTTCTAAAGGTCCCACACATAGTTCTCCGAGGGATTAAAGTAGGGAAAGCGAAAGGGAAGTCAAAATCCACCAGGAGGAAGGTTAAACCATTTCATGTGAACTTCGGCTTCCAGCCAAATAAAAATATCAGTGTTCTCCTGTCTGCATATAGTCTTCTGTGACCTGGGACAGGGTGCTCAGGTACTGCCAGCTCAGGGCAGCCAAGAGCATGACAAACGACAGGTAAATGGGGGAGTAGTGGCTTCGGGAGATGAGCTGACAGTTGGGAAGGCTCTGTGTCCTGATGGTGGAGATGACCTGCTTGGTTTTGCTGGAAGATGGGTCTGAGTTGGGGATCCGGTGATAAATCTGTTAAGGAAAGAAGAACGAGTAGAGTACTTAGCACTGTCGAGTACGCCACTTATATCTTCCACGGTTTGGTCACCAAGAAGAAAACTCAAGTTCTGAAAGCAAGAGTGACTTGCTACTCAGAAAGCTGAATTAGCTCCTAGGCACGTCCTGCTGACGAGGATGCACAGTGCAGCACATATCCCACCAGGGAGCCACTGAGTACCTGGAGAGCTGCCACCGCACACTACTTTAGATCCCGGTACCTCATGGGGGCAGGCACGGAGCAGGTGCTCGGTGCATGTTGGCATGATGCAGTTAGGCTGACCAAAGGCATGTGCTGGATGGGGAAGACTGCAATAGCGGGAACAGCAGAGGGCACTGTGCAGTCCTGCCAAGACCTCCTCAGCGCTGCTCCTTACAGGAACCTCCCCCACCTCTGCAGAGTCCCACTCTCCTTCTACATCCATGCCAACACACTGCCTGAGCCATGCCCTTAGTGACTCACATCTGAGTCCCAAATCCACTCGCCTGTTCACATGGTCAACAGAGATGGACAACCTGTTCTCAGGAACCCCTGTGCCCTCCCCATTACCTGCAGACTATCTGAGTTCCTTACTGTGAACATGAGGTGCCTTGGGCCATACCCTCTCCAAATGCACAGGCCACTGGGTACCTCTCTTCATACTTCTCTCTCCCACTACACCTTCCACACTGCATGCCTATATGCCTTCACCAGTCTCCTGCCTACCCCTCAAATCTCCAATAAATCAAACTGACAGGTTACTGGCAGGAAGTGATGACAACCTGAGCCAGAACTGGAGCATGAGTGGAGAGGATAGAGCAAGCATTTTACAGACTTTTAGCCAAGCCCATGGTGTACCTACAGTTTATCATTTAAGCACTCAAGAGGATGGTGAGTTGAGCACAGCCTGAGCTATACAGTGAGATCATTTAAAAATAAATAGGACCCAGGGCTGGAGAGATGGCTCAGAAGAGATGTGTTCACATCATCCATATGGAAGCTCACAGTCATCTGAAACTCTAGTTCCAGAGTTCCTGGTAATGCAGGACTTCATTCTACAGAAGCCAGATCACATGAAGGGTGAATGCAGGTTGTAGTGTTTTGTATTGACACCGCATTGGTAGACATGTCTGTATACCATGTCTGTGCAGTGCCCATGGAGACCAGAAGAGGGTGGTGGATCTCTGGCCACGCAAGGGCTCTAGGATGTTCCAGGGATTCCATGATTAAGGCAATGTCATTAACAACTAGAGTTCATGCCCAAGGCTGTAGCTGGGTAACAGCCATGAAACATCTACATGAGAGGAAAAGAAATGAAATCAAGAGAGAATGCAAAGCAACCCAACATCTAAAGACTACGCAGAAGAGGCAGAAAGGTGGGAGCAGGAAGAGGAGAGGATAAGCAGGAGACAAGCGTCACTGCAGACAGGAAAGCAGCGAAGGTCTCCAAGGAGGAGGAGTCCCTGCGTCAGATGACCTGGGGGGGGGGTGATTTAAAACAAACTGGTTTGGGGGTTTAATCATCAAATGCCATCACATTTCTTCCTCTTCTGGCTTATACACACCCAAGTGGTAATCTGTACAGTTAAGAAGGCCCAAGAGCCTGGCAAAGCCCAGTCACAAGGAGGCACAGGAACATGAAAACAATGGCCCTTGCCAAGGCTTTCAGTTGGCAGAGCAGAGGATGGACGTTTCCAGGTATTTGCCCACATATTACTTCTATCCCAAAATAGCAGAAAGACTTCCCTGGCTGTCAGGTTCACAGGCTGCTCTGAGCTAGGCTTCTCCAGCTACTGCGGAGCCATCTGCCCACCTCTCAGGAGGACACAGGCCTTCACTGCATCTCTCTGTAGGCATTAGTGGCCTCTGGGAAGCCTTTCCCTGCTATATTCTCCGTACAACTGAGGAGACAGACTTCACAAGGGATACATCCGCCTTTCCTGCAACAGCAGAAGTGATCCATGAGGAGGAACAGGATCAGCTCCAGGTGGCATCTAGACACCAGCAGGTGAGCCTACCTGGAGACCTCATAGAAGTCTTAACTCATTGTGAGACAGCCTCTGTAGCACAGGCTGGCCTCAAACCTTCTGTGCTGGTGAGGATGACCCTGAACTCCTGATCCTCCTGCCTCCACCTCCCCAGTATCGGGATTTCAGCCATGTTCCACCATGGCTGGTTTATATGATGGGGGCTGGGGATCAAACCCAGGACTTTGTGCATGGTAGGCGAACACCACCTGCTGAGTTATACTTCCAGGCTGCAAGCCTTCATTATAAAAACAACACTGAGAAGTCTTCCATAAGGCTGACATTGAACTCAGATTTTATTGCCTGAACTTTGTAATTCCATTTTTCTGCATCAAATATTAATATATCCTTTACTCTGAATTTTGCTGCGGCAACTTAAAGAAAACTAGAAACGCTGGGTCAGAGGTCGGCATGCGTTCTCTTTAAGGACCCAAAGCTATTTTTAGCTCTCTGGCCTCCTCTGTTGTAACTACTCAACTCTGCCCTGAAGTTGCACAAGCAGTCAGACAAGGAGGGGACACAGTGGCTGGGTTACAGCAGTGGCATTCACAAAAGCCACATGCCACCTTTGGCCTCAGACTCAACCCCCCAGCAGTACCTCATTCTAGCAGTCAAGAAGCACACAAATAAAAAATGAACTTTAGTGCCCATGAAGGTTTTCAAAAATTAGTGATCAGTAAATTAGGTAATCCCCAAATCATGCCTGTAGTCCCAGCGCTTGGGGAGCCAAAGATGGAGGATTCCAGTGAATTCAAGACCAGCCTAAGCAGACACCTGTTATGCATGCTCACCCAGCAGGGGGAGGTGTGCTTGGCTTTATAAGGTGGTTTTGGCATTTGAAATGAGAGTTGCAGAAACAAACAGACCAGGACTTAAGAACTGACTGCAACTGAACAGCCGTACATTGTCTATGTTCCCTCCTGGAGTTTTCAACTGAGGTCTGTGATATGCTAGAACACACACACTGAGTGTCAGGACACGAGATTCATTCAGCCATGCTTTAGCTTCCAGAGCCTCCACTTCATTTCCTTCACCCATCAAAGAAGCTAGGTCTCTAACATCATCTCTTTAGGAGACGTGATTCTTCCTGGGGGCTCTGTCTATGGCCTTGCTTCTTTTATGTCACCATGAGTCCTACAACAGGGCTCTCTCTGTGTGTATTTTCTTCTTCTTTTTTTACTGAGCTCTACATTTTTCTCTGTTCCCCTCCCTGCCTCCCCCTTCCCTTCAGTGTATGTATTTTCTAATAAGAGATACCAATCACTCTCTTTAGGCTATAACACTAAGTAGTGAGGACTAACTACTATCCAAACGTGGTCTGGTTAAACAGTGACATGACTTCATGCATAAAAACAGCTACAAATTACCCAGGATATTAACCGAAAACCCACCTCTTCTATATACTGTTGTATGATAGCTTTGACGGCTGGCATGTTGGTAGCATCCATCATAAGGGTAACTGCTTGCCCCTTCCGAATCTTCACTACCCCTTTGAAAACCTGCTGATTGTTGTAACAGGCAGCCAGTGTAGCGATGGCCATTACCTAAGGTAACAGGAGGAATCTCAGTTCATGAAGATGTAACACGCAGCGCTGCACGCACTCCTGAGAGCCAAGTCCTTTTGTGGAATACCAAGTGTAATTAAAGAGCCAATGTGTACCAGCCAAGCAGTACCACCCGGGATAGGCCAGTCAGGGTCTACCTTTCCATCTCCACTCCTTTCTCAACAACAGGGCTAAATTATTCTGCCATTTAGTAAAAAAAAATTCCAATTTATTTACAAACACAAGTAAATCCAACTTTTCCACATGAAAGTGGTAGGTTATTATAACAGAAATATATTTCAAAATAGTATCTAGGAAACATTTTCTAGTTTATCCTATTATGAACATATTCATTACACATTAAAAATTGTGTGAGATGAAAACAAGGGAAGGGGTACCTGTGCTTAAAACTGAATGATTATTACCCGGATGGAAACCTCAGCTAGGTATCCAGGTTTAGCTGAGCACCACTCAGGGCTGTCAGTACAACTAAAACCAAGCTTCTGAGGGAGGTAGTTACAGAAGTAACTCGTAAAGGAAATTAGTAAGTGTGAGAATATAGAGGCAGGGCTAGAGAGATGGCTCAGCAGTTAAAAGCACTAGGTGCTCTTCCAGGCCCCGGGTTCAATTCCCAGCACCCACATGGCATCTCACAACTGTCTGTAACTGCAGGGGATCTGGCACCTTCACACATACATATGTGCAAGCAAAACATCAACACATTTAATTTAAAGCAAGGCTAGGTCTACATTACTATCGAGTACAGAAAAGGATAAAAATCTTTAGGTATTTAGTGAAGAAGTTATTATATTTATTCATTTCATGTATATTTGCAATGTGAGATGCCTAGTGCAGAAGCCATGACCTACCAAGATGCCTCATGGTACCAGCCTTATTGGTTTTAACCAGCATGCTGGTGGCCATCTAGGCTGAGGCCACACTTTATTAGCATAATGATCTAGCTAGTTTAGAATGGATAATGGGAAAAGGGTAAATCCAGAAGGAAGGTTCTGGAGAAAAAAAAAAGTTGATTTTGCTCCTGAAAGTAATACAAGGACCATGCTGTAGCTCACTAGCTATTTCTGAGCAAAGGAAAACACACCAGAGCCACTTTCCTAATAAACCATGGCCCTGAACACGGCAGAGCGAGGCAGAAACTGTTCCACCCAGCCCAAGCACGACATTCCATACCTGTGGAATAGCACAGAAGTTAAACACACTTTGGTTCCGGAGCCTTGACAGGTAGGTGATGACGTCGGGGATATGGTGCAGGGTGTTGGTTATGAGTTCATTTAAGCACTGCACGGCCACATCTATGTTTTCTGGCTTAGCAAAGTCTCCCAGCTTCTTAACGTATCTGCCCCACACCTAGCAGCCAAGAAAGTACAGAACCAGTCAAGAGGTGCACAGGTGGAAAACTTACATGTATTATACGGTTTCTTCGGGGGTTGGAGGGGCTCAGTGTAGACCATGTAGCATGCGATGAGTGGGGCCTGGGTTCCACGCTCAGCACCATATGACAGCTGTGCTACTTACAGTGACATCACTTCACTGCTCACCAAGATCCATCTATCTTAGGCTTCAGGGAACAGCCACTTATGGCAACTAGTCAGGTCCAATGACAAGAGGCAGAGTGGCATATGGGAAGGTGCCCTTGTAAATAATTAATGTAGCATGCACCAACCAATGTCATAATGGCCTCAGCCTACAGAGGCTTCCTGCTAGCCGGAAGGATGTGAGTCCATTGCTGAACACCCCCAGTGCACACAAATCAACTCCATCATCACAAGCAAACTGTTCAAACCCCAAGACGGCCAATTCTGCTAAGAATGTTGTCGAGCCAGAACGTGGAGGGAAGTAGGCAGGTGTGCATCACAGTGCCACTGCCTCCCAGACTGTAGTAACTTGAACTTAGAGTAGTACTCTCTGACCCCTCACTTCCAAAGTGTGAGTTTAGTGGTTTTATTTTTTTGTTATCGTTTCTTTGGAAGCACAATCTCAGTAAGTAACCTCAAAATCCCTTTCTCTAGTCCCCAATCTCTGGAATGCCAAGATGTTAAGTTTGTAGTTACCCTACCTGGCCTAGTTTCAAGAATTTTTTAAATTTAAAATCACTAAGCATGACTATTAAAAATCTCACTCTACACTCACACATAAAATATAAGTATTATATATAATATATGTAATATATGTGTCTATGTGTGTATATGCCACATGTGTGTAGGTCCTAGGAACCAGACTCAGGTCCTGTGAGAGAGCAGCAGGTACTCCTAACTGTTGAGCCTCTGCTTCAGCGCCATCTTAACATGCACCCACATCTACCTAGACAGAAGGTACTAGGTTGTTTTGCAGAACCTGGGGGTGGGGGAAACTTGCAGTATAAATGCATGTATCCACCTGCTTCAACAATTATAGACACATAACAAACCTGTTCAATCTACACCCTACTCATAGATTATTTTAAAGTAGGGCTGGATTTATTTTTTTATCCATACAGTCTGATTTCCAAACGGAAGTTGAACTTAGGGCCTCATGCTGTGGGATAATGCTCTTGTACACTGTAAAGATTTGTCACTCATATTAGTTTAATAAAACACTGATAGGCTAGTAGCCAGGCAGAAAGTATAAGAGGGGTGACCAGACTAGAATAATTCTGGGAAGAGCAATGGCAGTCACAGTCACCAGCCAGATACAGAGGAAGATGAGAATGCCTTACTGAGAAAAGGTACCAAGCCACATGGGTAAGCATAGACAAGAATTATGGGTTAATTTAAGTTATAAGAGCTAGTTAATAATAAGCCTGAACTAATAGGCCAGTTTATAATTAAATAAGCCTCTGTGTTTTTCTTTGGAACTGATGAGCTGCAGTACCAGGCAGGACAAAAACTTCCGTCTATAGCCTCATGCATGAAGGCAAGTGTTCTACCACTGCGCTACATTCCCTGCCTGGACCCTTTCTTGTATAAATGAAGTATCAGGTCACATCTAAACACAAACGATTAATACTTAATATAAAAGTCTTCCAATTTACCTTCCCCCTCACACAATTTGCTCAAATCTAACCAGGCTCCACATCCAGTACATGCTGGCTATCACTGAGGAGGTCTCCCTAGCCATTGATTTGAAGAAAAGAGTGTGGCGTGTCCTGGAAGATACCCTGACTTTTCTTTTTCTCTGCCCAATCTCATAGTGTTTACTCATCCTGCTTTTCTTGTAAATGATGGGTCTGGCAAAAATACTCCACTGGTGATCTGTGTCATCTGCCTTTGTCTTTTGTTGTGCTTCCTGAGAAAACCATAGTTCGTATGGACTTCTGGAAACCCTGTTGTTGGAGACACCATCAGATCCAACAGGTTGAGGAGCTCAGGCTTCTAAGTATGCTCCCAGCTCCAATGTCTACTCCAAGAAGCAAGCTGGCACCTGTTCAGTGCTCATCATAAAGGATGCAGACGACAGGTGAAAGATGCAGAATGAGCTGTGGGAGAAGGGTGCAGAGCCTCCCTGCCCTCTCTCGTGTGCCACCCTTCAGACACTTCTACTTAGTCAGCTATGAAGGCTGAATCCCTGGCCTTTCGGGGTTTTGACAGAGGCTTCAACATAAAGACGGTATAATCAAAGGCCAGTGGAAGTCAATGCTATCTCTACTCAGACTGTAAGGAGCCCACAGCCACCAGACACCTGTTTGCAAAACACCCCTGGGCATCAGAAGATCTCAGCCTTGGCACTAGGAGGTTGAGGCAGGATGAGCATGAAGTTTAGATCAGCCTGGGTGACATGGCGAGCCCTTGCTCAAAAAAGATGTAACATAAAAGATCCCAGGGGTTTTAGGAGGTCCGTGCCTGAAAACTAGCACGAAGTGCATATTCTTATTCTAAGTCAAAGATGAGATCAATGGCAGGAGCACAGGCAACTAGCAATTTTATGATACCAGGTTTATGTAAGAATTTCAGGGGTTTTTATTTGTTTTGTAGTGCTAGGTATCAAACCAGCTTTCCATGTACCAGACAAGCACTCCACCTCTGATATAGCCCCAGTCCTTTGCCCAATTTCAGTATTTGAAACCAATTCATTTTTTGAGTGTTTACTCAGGCTAGCCGCGAATTCAAAATTTTCTAGCCTCAACCTTGAGGGGGGTTTGGGATCACAAGAAGGTTCACCATACCCAGTTCTGCTACTAAAATGATTTCACAATGGGATTACTTCTTTCCTTCCTTTTCTTATCCCCCCTCCACACCCCGCCACACACAGTTGGTGCCAGGGGTCAAAAACAACAGCCTCACACCTGTGTGAGAGCACTGGATCACTGAGCTATTCCCCAGCCCCCCACCATGGGTACCGGAAACACTGCAGGAACCCCGCCATTTAAACAGTAGCAGATGTCCTACACTGGGGGCTCTCACTGGGCCATGACCTAGAGATGACTCCACAGTAGTGTGGCTCTTCTTCTCCTTCCTCTGCTGTGAGCAGGTGCATTGAGAACTTTCACCTTTACTGTCAACAGCCTCACCAGCAGCACAGAGCCCTATGGTCTCACCTAATGAAAAACGGCTGTTTGAGCTGACTAACGCTGGCTAACTGTGAACTGAATGTCTGTCTCATTTATATACAACTCTTTTTTTTTATTTTATTTATTATGTATACAATATTGTCTGTGTATATGCCTGCAGGCCAGAAGAGGGCGCCAGACCTCTTTACAGATGGCTGTGAGCCACCATGTGGTTGCTGGGAATTGAACTCAGGACCTTTGGAAGAGCAGGCAATGCTCTTAACCTCTGAGCCATCTCTCCAGCCCCAACTCTTTTTTTTTTTTTTAATTAATTTAAAAAAAAATTTTTCAAGACAGGACTTTTCTGTGTAGCTTTGGCTGTCCTGAATTTACTCTGCAGACCAGGATGGCCTTGAACTTAAGAGATCCACCTGCTTCCCAAGTGCCCGAATTAAAGGATGTCTCTTCTACTTACTCTGCAGACTGTGTAGGCTGAGGAAATGTGCTCATGATTCATGCTGTGTCTGGGAGACTGTGAGCCAGCACAGCCAGACTCCTCTTCCTGGGTGGCCATGGATGCCTGGGCATCATCAGACAAGGCCATTACCACTCTCCACCACGGAGGCATCACCAAAGCAGAGAGCCAGGCAGAAGCCTTTCTCACATCTGTCTCCCCAGACACCCGGAAGTGTAAACACCCTATGTACTCATTTTTTTGGAAGATGGCTGTCTCTTTGTTGTAATCTTAGCACTTTCAAGGCTGGGCTGAAAAATCCTGAGTTCAAAGCTAGCCTGAGCAAATACTTAAACTTTAAAATTTGAGATTTTTAACAAAACAGTTCCTTTTATATTAAATATGAATTTTACATCTGTTTTATGCATTGCAAATGCATTTTCCTCACTTTGTGACTTTTACCTTTATCCTTTTACCTTTTTATCTTTATTCCAAAAGCACTTGGCTTTAGGTGAACACATGAAAATCCAGACGGCATCTCAATAGTCACTCAGTTTTCAAGCTTCTGTTCAGTGTTGGTAGTTAATTAAATCAGGTCTTGTACTTTCTTCTACCCACATCCTTGTACATCCTTAGCACGCACGATGTCATGAGCCACATGTGCGGCACCTTCGCCCCTCACTGTCAGAGACTGCCCTGATCCAGTCCGTCCCCCTGTGCTGGCACTCCTAATGAAGGTCTGCAGTCAGAGGACTCGGGCTGTGGCTACAGGAATACATTCAGGGAAAAGCCCCAGCTCTCAGAGCTTAAGTTGGTTTGCCTGGAATTTATCTGTGCCTTGGAGGAAGTCTGCCCAGCCGTGCAGAGCCTGAATCCCAGACACAGCGGGTCTAGCCAAGGCAAATGACTAATGCATCTGTACCTTCTGGTGGTGTCTAGGGTACTTTGATTTAGTCACTTGCGACCACTGGGTTAAATTACTCATTTTTCAGAGTCTAAAATTGTTTTCCCCCAAGTACCCCATGTCAGTTACCTCTCGAGGCCAAAACTCTCTTCCTTCTTGTTGGTCTTCCAGGTAATCACGAATGATATTTGTTTTCTGCAGGAACAGACCCATTGAGTTGGCACATTCTGTGTCTTCACCAACTAAGGGGTCTTCAAACTCTGAGGCCGAGAACAGACGAGAAAGGCCAATTCCTACCAGCCCAGCAACGTAGTGACAATACTGCAAAAGATTATTGTGTAAAGTGTTTTAATAATGACATAGGAAAGTCTTGCCAGGCATCTTAGCTACAAAATAGGGAGGCTAGAGCAGAATGTCTGAGCTGTCCTTCTGATTAAAACACAAGCACATGAAAAGAATACAATCAAAATGTAACTACATCATGTTCCTGACACCAAGTGAGCACTCTGCAAGCATTCAATCCACGACCATCCACAAGACCTCAATGAGCATGTCAGTCTATTTTGTGATCTGAACCCAAGCTCTGCAGGAAATAGAAATCACATAAACTCTTTAGGTATTTGAGAGGTCAACAAATAAGTGAGCAGGCCACACACACTGTCAAGTCTCCCTTTGTCCAGATGAGCAATCATCGTAGCCTACAACTCCTAGCCTGACCTGTACTCCACACTACTGGTGAGGAGGAAGCTCTGGCCAGACAAGCTATTACTGTGTCTGCTTCATCCCCACTCTCCTGACTCTCCTCAGAAGATGCACCATGCCCACAGGGATAGCCCAGCTCTCCACTCGTCAGCAGTTGCTATGGATTCAGTTTCTCTAAAAGCACAAGCTGGGAAGTCTCCTGAGCAACGGTGCTGAGGTGGAGATGCCTTGTGGGAGATGGAGGCCATGAAAGCTCCAGCCTAAGTGGATTAGTGCAAGTTACAAATGAGCTTCAGGCCGGGGCTCCCATCTCTTGCTCTCGTGCGCTCTCCATCACTCTGGACACGTTACAGTGAGAACCACAAGAAGGTCCTCTCTAGATATGGCTTAACTCCACAGACATTTAAGAAGGAATGAAAAACTTGGAGACCCCTAATTATTCTTTATCACTGAACTTCTCTAAAAGTAGAAAGAGAAATATTTTGCCCATCTGATGACTCACACACTAACGCGTGCACACACACAGCATTCTGTAACAGAAAAGAAAATACCAGTAACAACAAGCATTGTTCTTAAAATCTGAAAAGCACCATCACTTCTGTAATACAGGAAATGATTTGGCCATGTACCTGATATTTCACTGCAGCTCAGGATACTCTTACAACTCACTTTGGCAGTAGTGAGCCCTCTAGGGCACGGACTACCACTGACAACGTTAAGCTAGGTGGGTGTAAGGACACAGTCAATTTCAACAGACGTTGGTTAAACCAGAAAATCCAGATCTGGAGGCTATGCTGTCCTTGCTCTGAGTTTCACCACGGTGACTGCTGGCTGTCTAACTTAGCAGATGTAGATCCGGTTCACAGAGACACTGACCTTGTCCCAGTCCTGTTTGGAGGTCACATGCTTGTCTACAAATTCTGCCATCCCACATCCCATTTTTTGGCAGATGTCAGCAATCACTGTTTGGTATTTCTCCGCCAAATTTCTAAACTCCAGGGAGATCTGAAATGAAGAGCAAACAAAACAAAACACAAGATGACACATTTCATGGTACAAGCAGAAGTGCACAGCCCCGCAGAGCTCACAGGCCAGATCAGACAAGCCACTTCCCTTCATCAGTCAGGGTCCCCAAGTACTTCCTTCTTGAAGCTAGTGTCCTTAAGTCAAGCAAATGAAAATAAAAATTCCAGTAAAACAAGGAATTATGTCTTCCTGGAACCCGGAGGGAAGATCTGTATTCTTCAGGCTCTGCTACTTAACACAAGCCCTTGGGGGACCAAGCCACAACCACGGCACACTCCCAGGTCCTTATAACACTTGCTGCACTTGCTGGCCATTCCAAGGACATGAAGGCACATTATGGTGATAAGTCTCCTGAGACAATAAAGGCCAAATCCCAAACAGGGCAAGAGGCTCAAGGCACTTTCATTAACTTTCAAAGGCAAACTCTTCCCCTTGGACAGATTATGATTAAAATACTGCCTGATTTGTTGTTCTAAGCCCCCCACCCTCCTTCTGAGGCAGGTTCTTATTATGATATTCAGAACTGATTTAAACTCCTGGTCCTCCTACCTTCGCTTCTCTGCACTCACTGATGTGTGCTGACGTATCTGGATGTTTTAACCTCTTCTTGTCCTTTGAGCTTTTTTGTTGTTTTTCAGACAAGTTTACATAAATCCTGGCCTCAAACTCCCTATCTAGCTGAGGCTAGCCTTGAGCTCCAAATCCCTCCTGCCTCCACTGCCGCACCTCACCCAGCTATAAAAAGGCAAAAAAGATGCACAGATCAGCACCATGTTGCTGGGGCCAGGCACCCTGGGTTCCAACCCTGATTCCCCGTTTAGGCAAGGGACTTGAATTTCTCTGCACCTCAGCTCCCTCGTATGCAAAAATGTAGAAAGTACAGACACACTGCAGATGGTGTAAGTAAAAGCCAGGGATGGGAGGACATTACAAAGGCTGCGGCAAACCCAATCGCACGCTTTAGGTCATAGCACTGGGAAGACAGAGGCAGGCGGATCTCTCTGAGTCTTAGGTCAGCCTGGTCTACAGAGTGAATTCCAGGACAGCCAGAGCACCACAGAGAAACCTGGTCTCGAAAAAAAACAAAACCAAAAAACCCTCAAGGCTGAAGCAGACAAACACAAGACAGCATGCTCACACACTGTGCCTCCAGGAAAGAGAGTCCACTTGGCTTATTTGCAGAACAAGAGCGTGTGAGGTCCACACATCATATGTGGCAAAACCATTTAAATTTACAAATGGAACTAATAAACTGCCCTTGAAAGTACATTCTATCTACCTGGCCTTGATAAGCATACTTGTTGCACTTGGGAGGCAGAGGCAGGAGGATCTCTGTGAGTTTAAGGCCAAAACCTGATCTACAAGAGCTAGTTCCAGGACAGGCTCCAAAGCTGCAGAGAAACCCTGTCTTCACCTCTATCAGGATATAAATGGCTAACAATAACAAGTGGCTTCTTTTCTGGCCTATATTTTAGCTCCCTTTTTCTCTAGCTGGGACAGTTCGCTGTTTCCTAACCTCCTTGTGCAAACAGGAAAAGATCAATTTACTGCTCACCTTTGAAGCCCTCCAAAGCCAAACATTCTCTTCCATTGGACTGCCACATGCATCAAGGAAGACACTGGGCTTTACCAACATACTTGACAAAGATCTGAAAATTACCTATCTCCCCCAAATTACTTTAACATTCTCACAGTTTTATATTCTTTCTGTTGGGCAGATGAGGCTAACTTAACTGTTTTGGTTCCTTGAGACATGATTTTTCTGTGTAACAGCCCTAGCTGTCCTGGAACTCACTCTGTAGACCAGGATGGCTTTGAACTCACAGAGATCCACCTACCTCTGTCTCTGAGTACTAGGATTAAAGGGCTGAGCCACCACTGCATGGAGGTTACCTTAAACTTTTATGATCCATGTAAGAAAATTATCCCACAACCAGAAAGTATTTAATGGTTGTAATGTCCCTGTATGAAAAGTAGTTTGGGCCAGATGTGATAGCACACACCTAAAATCCCAGCACCTGGGAAACAGAGGCAGGTAGAGCTCTGTGAGTTCCAAATCATCCAGCTCCAGGCCAGCCAAGGAAACATACTGAAATCCTGCTTCAAAAACAAAGCAAAATGGATTTTTGGAGGCAAGTCTGGTATTCCTTAGGAGGTTGGGGTAGGAAGGTTAGCTTAAAACACAAAGTGGGTTCATGGTCAGCCTTTGAGAAAAAGGCAGGCTGAGGATACAGAACAGTAATAATAAATAAGAGTACTTAGAGACCATAGGGCCCTGGGTTCCATATCTAGTACTGAAGAGAAAAGCAAAATCCATGTCTGTTTCTAAAAAGACACACCAGGGGGCTCACAGCATGTCATCGACACTGGCAGGGCTCAGAATGAGCTCAGCGCTGAGTTTCAGAGGAAACATGCATGGACCATCAGGTACCTCGAAGACACCAATGCACCAGTTTCTTCCCTAGCTCAGAGCTCTAACAGATCAGGCATTTCTCCAGTCTTTCTTGGAGTCATAACACAGTACACTAGATTTTGGGCTTTGGCCCTGAAAACATGATCTCAGCAAGTGGAAACAGCCCTTGCCCAAAAGGAGTCTTTCTCAAACCTGGGTGGACTCCCCCTCCGTTCACCTGACTCCCTCCCACTCAGATGTACAGACTAGATAGATTCCTTCATTGTAAACGGCAGATGAGGACTGTTCTCTGTTCTCCAAAACTCTAGCAACTATGCAGTAAACAGATGCCCTCTTTAGGGTATCAGGGACCACTGACTTGGCTAACCATGCAAATTCTAGAAAAGGACGAAGTGAGGTCCATGTACAAGAGGTTTCGAGTGCCTAAAGCTTGGGGCTTTAACTATAACCCACCTCAAGAGCTAATACCTACACAACACTTAGTATGCACCAGGCACTGACCTAAGAACTTTGTACCTAAGAAACACCCAACTTCTGCAGCTCCACCCATGTAGATTGGGATACTGAGTCACAGCTCAGGGGAAGTGCCAAGGATTTCACCTGGCTGCTATAGCAGCCCACACCCTGCCCACAGATGTGACCCATGCTGAACAGCAATCCCAGCCAGCCAGCCTCCCTGAAGGCTACACTACAGTCAATAGGTCCGAGAGAGCCAGTCTGGACATTCACTTAAAATTTTTTTGGGGGGGGAGGGTATCTTTTAGAAGCCTGAACTGTGTGACGGTACAGAAGTCTTTCTGTATGAACAGACCGGGACATCTTAACAACGCCCTGTAGAAAGAGAATTAACAACACTAGAATCTTTTTTTTTTTTTTTTTTTTTTTTTTTTTTTAGTTTTTCAAGACAGGGTTTCTCTGTAGCTTTGGAGCCTGTCCTGGCACTAGCTCTTGTAGACCTAGAATCAGGGAGCTGTTATCGTCTCTACACACAGACAGAAACCGATGTAGGGAGGGGTCTCTACCTCATTACCAATTAGTAAGCTGGGATCTTAAGCAGAGACATCTGGTGCTGGACTCAGCTGCCAGAGTTCTCGGCCATCACGTCTCCGGCTGCCCTCAGCCCCGGGGCTGAGTGACAACAGCACTGCCAATTAGCAACATATGTACCCAGAAGAGAGTCCACTACCGTGGGGAAGTCCTCCAGCACTTGGCGGTCCTTCTCCTTGCTCTCCATGAAGCGCCACTCTGGTTCATAGAGGAAAGTGTGAAAGTTGCGCAGCATCGGGATCTTCTTCTCCACACTGATGGTCATGTCATCTTCCACCGTGTCCAGAGCGCGGAGAACCAGATAAAACACACACACTGCGTGGCTGTGAAAAAGGGAAGGCTATTAACAGGGCAAGGAGCATGCGTTTATTTATTCATTTCGTGTATGGATTGATGTGTGTGTGTGTGTGTGTTGGAGCATGAATGTACCCCAGCACATGTGCAAGGTCAGAGGACAACTTCTGGGAATCAGTCCTCCCTTTGTCCCACGTGGGTTCTGGGGACCCAACTCAAGTTGTCGGAGTTGGCAGCAGTGCCCTACCTGCTAAACTATTTCATTAGTCTCTTTTTGAAAATATTTATTTTTAAGTCACATTTAAAGCAGAATAGTGCTTCATGCCTGTAATCTTAGCTTTGGGAGGTTGAGGCAGAAGGATCTGGAGTTCAGGACAACTTGGGCTACAGAGTGAGACCCTCCTTCAATAACAGTCATTTAAACTGTGCCGGGCCATTTTCTAAGTGGTCTTCCCAGTAACTCTACAGAGCTAAGAAGTGATGTTACAGACTATCAATCTTGTATTTGTTACCCTGTCTTAATGGGAGTGATAAACTCTCTAGTTTTGTAAAAAGTGATAACCTAAGCAGGTGGGTGCCATACCATAACTCCTAGAATGCTTTACAATTAACCAATGCATGTCAGGGACCAACAGTTTAGACCCATGTTCAGAGGGAACTAGGATTTTGCAGGCGCAAAACTTTTCAGCATGAATGCTGTCGTGGTAACCACTGCAAACTTGTGTGCAATGTGAACATTATGAAGACTCAGTTATGCTTAAAATGTAAGGTGACAAACGAGCTAAGAAAAAACACCAGGCCTGTTCACTGACAGGTGCGGGTGCCAGGCCTAAAAGAAGGTAATAAACATGGCTGCCCCACCCCCTTCTCTGAAAGGACTGGCCTGAGGGCAGACATTGGTAGATAGCCAGGTGTCTAGAAGGGCATTTGCAAGTAAACACATGGGCGCAGTGTGTGTGTGTGGAGGGGGAGGGTTAGTCCTGCCTAAGCCACAACAAGGAGCCCATATTCTTTTCTTTTAAGGAGCTCATAATTCTAAGCGGTGAGCCAACGTGGCTGCAGTGACTCAAAGTCCCCTGGAAAAGCGGTCCTCCCGGAGTTAGGGCTCTCCACTAACCGCATTTCCCCATCCAGCGCCTGGATAACAGCGGCGAAGCTGCGACTGGTCTGATTCAGATACTTGTAGCACGTCTTCAAGCTGCTGCTGAGCGAGTCCTGTGGGCAGAGAAGACATACCGCAGTGGCAGACGTGGAGCAGGAGTGGGGCTGGGGCAGGCAGCTGGCAGTTGGGCTCCGAGCCCAGGACCAATCCTTGCAAGGCCAGGCGGTGGGGGGCCAGGAGCAGCACCGTGGGGGAGAGCCAGGAGTCCTGGGCGCAGCAACCGGGCTGAGCACCAAAGTGCGCTTGACCAAGGCCATGGCCTTGGTGCTGCCAGCGGCTGCCATGGGGAGTGCAGCGTGGAGCCCTTCCTCCATAGGCGCCCACCTCAGGGCGGAGATCGGACAGGGCTAGCACTGGCCAGAGCAGAGGGAGCAAGCCTCACTCACCGACACGTGCAGGTCCGGACCACGCCCCTTGTCGCTTCTGGCCACGCCCCCACCAGCACGAACCCCTTGCCCACCCTTCTGCTGCGCTTTCTCCAGCCACCGCAAATGGTCTGAGTGAGGGGGACACGGACTGGCGCAGCTCGGAAAGGCTGGCTCTCTCTCCCTGTGTTTTTCCAAAACAAAACTATTTATGCAGGCTCCTCTGAATCCTTTGTCAACTAGGCTGGCCTTTGGTAAACTGAAGTGCTCTGTGTTTGTGGTCAGTCTTACTACGGAGCTCTGGCTGGCTCGGAAATCGGAATGTAGACCAACCAGGGTGGCCTCGGACTTGATCGTGTACCCTCTTCTACCTCTACCTCCCCCGAGTGGAGTGCTGAGATTAGCGTATGGACCACCACACCCAACAACGGGTCTGTCTTTGCACTCCCAATTTTAGTTGAAATTGTCCAACCTAAACACATGACCACACTGTCTCATCTAAACAATAACCCCTTACCCTCTCAATTTTCCCTTAATAATTGGGACAGAGTCCATTTCTACTCTGAGGCTTCTTTACGCCCACTGCGATTATTTTCTTCTGAAGAGAATCTGGCTTCAACAACTGCTGCACTGCGTGGCTGACCCAGCCCTGCTTAAGACCGCCAGAAACCTTCAAATCACTGCTCTTAGCAGCGGTATCAGGGATGTGCAGTGAGCTGGTCTTCGCGTGGGAAACAAGGAAGGGCTAAATACACTTTGCAAGGAACTGGAGGTTTGGATGGCGTCTTAGTACAAATGCCAAACCAAACCTGCGGTTTTGTGCTGTGTGTGTTTTATATGAACGTTTTATGAGCAAGAAAACTGAGCCGAAGGTATAGCATTTCCACGTGCCCCTTGCACACAATCTCTCCCCTCATTCCAGGAAACGGGAAACACAATTATCGACTGGGGGAGTCGCTTTTGAGATACGGCATATCTACTAGTAGGCAATCCACAGTTGCAGTGGAATGGCAGGGAACCTTGGACCCTGGTGGGTCCTGTGAGCTATGTCCTTTTTTATTTGTATTTCCTACACTTCCTAATATGAATACACATCATTTTGTCCAAAGAGTAAGGCTTTCTTTAAAAAAAAAAAAGATATATAATCCTAAGTTTCATTTTGCTGTCATTTTCAGTAAGATATACTAGTTAAAACCAATATTTACTGATCAGCATATTTAAGTAAAATTCACAATCAAGCACATGAAAACAACCCACAGTGTTCCAGTGAATAAAGCAATACATTCATGGAGGATTTTAAAATACACTCTTTCAGAAGGTAGAAAGGTAAGGGTTCACAAGAAAAAACTGAGTAACTTCTCTTTTGGGATACCATGTTACTCTTGTAGCCCAGGCAGGCATGGAATTCATGGCAATCCCCCTGCCTCAATCTCTTCACTGCTCAAATCACAGCTGTGATCTACACCCAGGGTGAGCAACTCTGACAGCTCTCTGACTCATGCCCCATGAGTATCATCTACAGTGACAATGGTCTAGGGACTGTTCTCACAGGGAAGCAATAAATGCTGGGGACAGTGGCACTGCCTTTGGAGGGAGAGCAGTCTTTTTTTTTTTTTTTTTTTTTTTTTTTTTTTTTTTTTTTTTTTTTTTTTTTTTTTTTTTTTTTTTTTGATTTTCAAGACAGGGTTTCTCCGTAGCTTTTGGTTCCTGTCCTGGAACTAGCTCTTCTAGACCAGGCTGGCCTCGAACTCAGAGATCCTGCCTCCGCCTCCCGAGTGCTGGGATTAAAGGCCGCGCGCCACCACCGGCTGGAGAGCAGTCTTAGGGAGCGGTCCCCACCCCATCATCCCGAGGAGACACAGGACTCACTTCCTCTGTGCCCTCCACATCACTTGTTTCTGGTTGCAGCATGTCACCCTGAAGAACAGCCCCCAAAACGACTAAGAATAATCCTACCAAGAACTACACTGCTCTCTGAATGTTGGCAAGATTTCATATGTGAACTTCCTGTATGTATGTTACAGCTACTGTCCTTAGGGGTCGCCCACGTTTTTCACTGATGCTTGAGGCTAAGAACATACCCAGAACTCTCCAATGCAGGGAAGACAGGACTCAAGGGCATTTAGGACAAGGGTACGGATGGCTACAGAGGGCTGAACTCCCAAGACTCAGGCTCCAGCTGACAGCTACCAGCACCACTCCTACTTGCCCCTCTGCCATAGCCCCCACTTTTGTCTTTTTCAGGCGGGGTTCTCTGTGTAGTCCTGACTGTCCTTGAACTCAGATCCACCTGCCTCTGCCTCCCAAGTGCTAGGATTAAAGGAGTGCGCCACCACTGCCTGGCTGTCTTCTCTAATTTTTAATAAGACAGGTTTGCTTAGGACAAGAAAATCTAAATCTTAAAAACCCATGAACCTCAGAACTGGATTTAACAGCAAGATTAACAATTGCCACTTATTAGGCACCCACTGCATGTCAAACACAACACAAACATTACCCTGAACCCCTCCTAAATGTTCAAGGAAGGTGTAACAGGCTACAATCCATGCCACACAGGTAGCAGAGGTCATACTTTTTAGTGTTTTGGACAACAAACCATAATATGGTCAATAATGTTGAGTCTTAAGAAAAAACCTTTCAGTTACCCAGGTATGGTGAGCACAGCTGTGACTTATTACGTGGGAGGCTGAGGTGAAGGATGAAGAAGAAGGGCTATACCCCAAGACCTCTTGGCATAAGAAAATAACAAAAAAAGAAACAGAACCCCTTTCATTCCCAGCCTGGAACAAGCAGGCTGTTGCTAAGGTACTGTACCTCAGTGCACTGCTATCTTACTGATGATAAAGAAACATGGAGATTAAGTTACTAACGAGAACATGAATGTCTAAATAGTAAAAGTTACGCTTGACAGAAGTCAAATCTCCTTAGAAAAGGTTGGCTTCTTCTATTTTGTGGCCTCTGAGTAATGTCACAAAACTTGCACATGGGGGAATGCATTTAGATGTGCTGATACGCACAGTTAATGACAAATTATTTGAACTTGATTTTTTTTTTTTAGGGTACTGTGTCAGTGTGTAGCCCTGACTGCCCATTCAAAGATTAAAAGCACGCACCACTATGCCTGGCCTGAATCACATTTGTTCTTTGTTACAGAAATAATCAGTCCTCAATATTGTTCAAGGTACATTTCCCTCAGTGTTTTCTTATTGTTGTTACTTAAGAAAGAAATGCTAAATGAAGAGAAATTTGGTTTCCTGTTTGTTTCCCCTAGTTAAAGGTATATTCAACTATTGCTATTTATTTATTTATTTATTTATTGGCCCGAGCTATTACCATGGCATTTAGGGTGGTCTGAAACTTCTGGGCTCACGTGAGCCTCTTGCCTCCACTTTCAGAAGAGCACGCACCACAGCATGAGCCTCAGTGGTAGCACCTGGTTAGCATGCACGAGGTCTTGGGGTCAACTTGGAGGGGGGGGGGGGGGGGGGGGGTGTCTCACAGCGGCTTACTAAGAGCTCAGTAAACACACTGGCCATCAAAACCCTCCAGGAAAAAGGGACAGCCCGAACCAAGTCTCACTCTCCGCCCCTTGCCATGGCCACCCAGTCTCCAAGAGTCTCATTTTATAAAGGAAGAGAAAAACAGTCCCCTGCCGTAGATCACAACCCTAAGATCTGCCATCCCTTGACCTCGCCACTCTGACCTCCTCCAACTATGCTTTTGGTAATTAGTTCTGCCTGAAACTCTGGGGACTTGTCTTACCTCTATCACCCAATAGGACCTGTTTGACAAAAGCCAGGTCTTTGTAGAGTGTGTGTTTTTTTGTTTTTAATTTAATTACACAGACCAGTTCTCAGAAAGAAGCAGAGGTGCTGTGCGGCCAGGCCTGGCTGGCCCTCCCCGAGGCACACTTACAGGCCTGTGAGGGAAAACTGCATCTGGAATCTACACCTGTAATCTGCAAAGTGGCAGCAACAACAGGACGTGTCCCTTTCAGATTACTAAGAGTGACGAAGTGCACTAAACTGTTAACATGACTCTTCTCATCACGAAGGAGTCTTTCTTTCCTCCCTCGCTCCTGGCTCCCCAGGTGACATTTGGGTCCAAGTGCACAGTAACAGATGTGACACATGCAGAATTCTGAAGTGTGTGTATTGGGGTCTGCTCCCTTCCAGTGTTCATGGAGTCCCATGAGATGTGTGTCTCCCCTAAACTGGCTGTAACCTGTTAACCACCCTTTCATCCAGCCACAAGCTTGCCTGTCAGCTGAGCATGCCATGGAGAAATGGACCCAGCTGTCCCAGACAACTGGGAACTAAGTAGCAGTTGTTACTTTAAACCATCACGTTTGATTCCCTAAACTTAGGACAAACACACGCACAGCATGATTTGACATCGCCTCCTCTTACTAGTTCCCTGGCATCAGGAAGCAGCACACGTTTCCCCAACCCCAGCCCTAAGGTTTGGGATGATTTGTCCTCAGTAAACGCTAAATGAGAAGCTGGTAAGATGCCTCAGAGGATTAGGATGCTTGCTGAACAGGACTGGTGACCTGAGTTCAACTCCTGCTACCCGTGTAAAGGCAGAGAGTGGCGAGAATAAACGCCACAAAGTTGTCCCATGGCTGCCACATGTGTGCAGTGGCGTATGTGTACGAGTAAACACACACACGGAAATGCGGTCTTAAAAAATCTAATTTAGGGGCTGGAGAGATGGCTCAGTGGTGAAGAGCACGTCCTGCTCGTCCAAAGAACCTGGGTTCAGTTCCCAGCACCCACAGGGCGGCTTGAAACTACCTGTAACTCTAGTTACACATTTACACAGACACACATACAGGCCAAACCCCAGTGTACACTAAATCTTAGAAAAAGATTAAAAATTAATTTAAAAAATCTAAGTAATATACTTAGATAATAGATAGCTATAAGACAACATCATCTGCCCTGGGACTCACAAACTAACCCTAGGGTGGCCTAGAACACACAGAAATCTCCTGCCTCTGTCTCCCAAGCACTGGGATTAAAAGCATGTGCCACCATGCCCATCAAAAAAAAAAAGAGAGAGAAAAGAAAAACATTATTACTATTTGTTCATTTATTTTTGTGGAGGATACTGAAAGCCACAGCGCTTATGTGGAGATAAGAGAACAACTTGTATTGGGAGAGAGCGCTCTGGAGGGGTTGGAGAGACGACTCAGTGGTTAAGAGCAAGAACTGCTCTTGCAGAGGACTGGAGTTCAGTTCCCAGAACTGATATGAGACAGCTCACAACCACCCCTAACTCTAGCTCCAGGGCAGGATCTGATGCCCTCTGCTGACTTCAGAGGTACTGTACTCACCTCCACAAACCCACATAGACACTGACACACACACACACACAATTACAACATTAACTAAATCTTTTTTAAAAGAGTAAACAATCTCTACTCAGACTGAGTCAAAACCCAGCTTCCACTCCATAACTACAGGACCTTAGATAACTTACTAACTTCCCTGAGTCCCTTCTAGAAAACACAAAACCAGTAGATCCTCAAAGGGTGACAGACGGGAGGTTATGTAAAAGTGTTTGGCACAGACCAAGAGCTAATAAACATTAGCTAACTGTCATGGCACTAACTGAAAGGTACACACTTCTGTTTCAAAAGCCTTTCAGCAAGGTGCAACGTTGGAGAGAAAGCCCCAGGCAGGTGTCCTTACAGATCTGGGATGTCCACAGCGCTAAGCCTGAGGAGATTGCCTGAAAAAGCAGGTGGACACTGGCAAGGGGCAAACAGGTCAAGGTATGGCGCAGAAGAGCCTTGTCTCCAAGTACTGGCCACTGCATGCCAGCAACAAGTGTGTTTGGCTCTGAGCTAGATCTGGACAGTTGGCTGCTTTGGTTGTTAATGAATACTTAATCGCTTAGTAAAGATATATGAGGAGAACAAAATTAAGTGTGACCAAAAGAATATATACTTAACCTCAGGCACAGTGGTTTGTTATAGTACTTTTGGTATTTTCCTTCATGAAATATCTTGTAATGAAAATGCATTTTTAATTGTGCCTGGAAGCTCACACCTGCAATCCCAGCACTCAGGAGGTTCAGAGTTCAAAGCCAGCCTGAGCTTACCCTGTCTCAAAAAATAAAACGCCCAGTGCGTTATAGGTTCTGAAGTAGCCAAATGAGAACTGCCCAATTACCACATAACCATGAAAACTGAACTTTAAAGGAAAAGGAGGAGCAGGGACATGGCCCGGAAAGTGTCATACTACAAATAACTAAAGGACACAGCTTTGTGGCAATAATACTTTCTTGGTCTGTTGTTCGAAACAAGGTCTCAGTAAGTGTTCACAACTAGCCTCGGAACTCAGTCTGTAGAGCAGCCTGACCATAAACTCCTAGAAATCCACCTTCATCTCCTTCTCTTATGGTAGGCTTCAAAGGCGTGTGTGCCGCCACGCCCAGCTGTGAATCTGTATTCTTAAGAGAATATGAGAGTTTTAATACCTCAGAGTCTGTATTCCAAAACTGGCTCTAAAAGCAGCAAAACAAAGGGTTGAAGTTGAGTCCAAGAGTTTCTAAAACCTGAAATTCCCAGAAGGAGGGAAGGCAGTGAACACGCCTCCCTGGTGGGGAAACTACCATCACCAGTGCCGCCAGGGGACCTGAACTGTAAGCTTAGGCTCCCCATCCCTTCAAGAAGCTGACAAACAGAGGCGGCTTCCCCCTCTAAGAGCTCAAATGAGCAACAACATCCAGCCTGGAAGCATTGGGATTTCTGAAGATTTGTAAACGTGCAATGCGAATATGTAATCTTGGTACAATGCCCACGTCCAAACAGGCAATCCTTTCACGCTTCACCTGGGCCTCTCACGCACACAGCTGACAGGTAACTTTTTACAACAATCTAAGGTATCTGCACTTAAGATGATTTGTCGCCTGCATGTGTGAAGTCAGGTGTGGCAGCGCGTACTGATGGTATCACATCAGTGCTCAGAGAACTCTTCCTAATACTGAGCCAAATGAATATTGGCTCACAAAAGCCACAGAGCATTTGAAAGCTCTTACTTCCTTTCAGTAACCCTGAAAAGATTAAACTCACATCCTAACAAGAACTGATTTTCCCCGTCCTGTCAATTTCCCTATGACCCTCACTATCCGGCCACACTCGGGAAAGGGCACCAGGTTTAAAAGTCTAGAAGCTTCTCCAAGGCAGCTTTGTTCCCTACTTCTTCTTCACACATGTTGACAAGCTACATTATAGAAAGCCATAAAGACACACTTATGAAGAAAATAACCCTATTTTCTAGTATCTTAAAATCCAGAATTGTCAGGTGTGGGGTGGTGGTGCACCTTTAATTCCAGCACTCAGGAGGCAGAGACGAGCATGACCAGAGACAAGTGGATCTCAAAAGTAAGCTCTGAGGCAGCCAGGGCCGCACAGTGAGACCCTGTAGAACCAAACAGAGACTTTTAAATCAGAACAAGCCTGCGACAGAGAATCTTACACCTGGAAGTCAGCCTGGGAGCTGACTACCAGACTATGGGGTCTCTGAAGTTGAATAGTACTAGAGAAAGCAGGTAAGCGAACCTCACAGGTCACAACGCCTTCCTCAGATTTCTGCAAAACATTCTGGAGACACTTTAGAAGGGTCCTGAGGAGATGGAATCAGCAGCGGCTGGAGAAGGCAGTAAACTGGCCTCCCCAGAGAAAGTGAACTACCTGTCGCTGGAGCGGTCACAAGACCAAGTGACTTGCATTATAAAGCAGAGATTCTTTGCTTTTGGTCATTCTTCCTTAAGAGCCTGACAACTGTGCACCCTTCTCCCCCGATAGGTACTCTTTGCATTTCTTTCTTTGGGGGTCCTATCTGTCGATGCTATATGGCCATCCGTGGCTTACCCAAAACAGCACCTATCTACCACAGTGTAGGTGTCCCGTAAACAGGCATCATCGGAAGGGCAGAGAGGCACCTGACAGAGCTAATGAGGATTCCGCATTATGAAAAAAAATTAAAGTGATTCAATGAAGAATCTCTTTAAATAAAATACAGTGTGATGTTTCCAGCGGATGGGAAAAATTTAAGGCTTCTGATGTAAACCATTAATTCAACTGCATGTGCATTCATGCAACCATTACATACTCTTATTACAAGAGTGACCATCACCACAAACGCACACATGTAACGAAGGGTACAGTGCGATGAAATACAAACAAAAACCAAGCTCTGGCCTTCCAGCAGCCAACAGCTAGTGATAACTTGGAGATTATGTACACAAGAAAACAGGAAGCACCCGGGAAGGAAATAGGGGCTTGCAGGAAGGTGAGGGAGCGTATGAGGGAGGTGATGTATCTGAAAACTGGAAGGAGTGGTGGGTGTGGAGTTAAATTTTCTCAAGTCTGTTCTCTCTAATCTCAATCTTGGAGCGCAGCCGTTGGAGTAAAAATAAACCCTCAAGTTTAGGGGGGAAAAAAGTGCGCAGGAAAAGTAATGGCTTGAACAACCAGAAACCTTTAAAAACAGGTAGGGGGTAGGGCGGGACCTGTCAAGAGGATGATAGGGTCCAGCTGGGGTGTGGGACCCGGGCCAGGAAACCCCCCTTCCAAAGAGACCGGAGCGCTCGTGGCCGTTCTCCGTTATCTCCGGTGCGTGCAGCGGCCACAGACCCGCGTGGGTACAAGGATGCTCGGCCTACCTGGTCCATCTTTGGTATGAACTTCCGCTGGCCTCCCATGCGGAATCGTAGCAGGTTGTAAAACTCCTCCGGGTGGCCGAGACACTTCACGAACTCCATCCTTGGCGCCTGCCGAACGCGAGGCTCACCTGTCTGGATCTCCGTCTCCCACTGGCGTCTAGATACTCGGAATCGGCCAGGGCTAGGAGGCGGGGCCAGCGGCCGGACGCCCCGCCCACCTCCCGCCCTCCTCAACCGGCCCCGCCGCTCGCGCCGCCAGCCCGGGGCGAGCGCAGTGGACTGACGGGCGTTGATTGGTCAGAGCCTCTCGCACCAGTAAGACGCTGGCCAATAGGAGGCCAGAGGTGCCTGGCGCGATGACCACACCCTAGAATCTGATTGGAGGGCTAGAAAGAGGCCAGCGAACGCGATTGGTTCCCAGAAGAGGGTCTTTGTTTGCGAGCTGCGTGTCGGAGGTGGGCGGCGAGCTCCGCGCGTGGGTAGTCGTTCGGGAGTGCGGAGACCCACGTGTTCTCAGGTGCCGGGAAGAGAGGTTCGCTTGCTCCAGCGCGCCTCCTCCCCTAGTTAGCTTTTACCTCTTAAGACGCCTAAGGGAAGGGCTAGCAAAGCGGCGTCAGACTGGGAGAGCAGGGACTGGAAATATGATTTGCGGCTTGTGATCACGGTAACTCGGGCTCTACACTGTGTCCTAAGGAATATAGGTTTCCAAGAGAAAGTAGGTTTCGTGATTTAAAAGAAAACAGGGTAAACAGAGTCTTGCTTTCCTCTGAGGAGAGTTTCCTGTGGCTTTCCTGAGCCCCATGAAGCTTCAAGTGGGACAGCCTACAGTTTCTCAGACGTCCCCATCCCTCATCTGTGAGACACCACGCATATGATTCTTGGATCGTATTTTCAACGCTACTAAAACAAAGAGAACTGGGCTCTTGATGGACATACCTCTCATGTTCTGGTTAATAAACCAGGATTTATGCGGTGCCTGCAAAATCTGCACAAGATTGGGCCCCATCTGGCGTGGGAGGGGCAGCCAACCACCCCTCTAGTTAAGGGTTGCAAGGGTCAGGGAAGGGCTCCCTCCCTAGGTGGTTAATGGTTACTAGTGGAATAACTTTTAAAGTTATTAACCTAAATGACACACGAGTTTTATGATGAACTCTTCACACAATGTATTTTGATCATATTCCCCTTTAACCCTCATACAACTCCCACACTTGTCAATCCTTTTATTCTCTCTTTTTTATGATATATTATTTGTATCAGTGTTTTGCCTGCATGTATATTTTGTGTGAGGGTGTTAGACCCTGGAGTTACAGACAGTTGTGAGCTGTCATGTGGATGCTGGTATTTGAACCTGGGTCCTCTGGAAGATCAGTGAGTACTCCCAACCTTTGAGCCATCTCCCCAGCCCCCCTCTTATTCTTTCAAATAGACCCATTTATACTTACATCTTTTTATTATATGTTGATGTGTGGCATCATACACATTCTCAGATATGGAGGTCTTTCTTCCTCCATATGAGTCCTGGGAATAGAATTCAGGTCAGTAGGTCTGGTGGTGCCTTTGTGTGACCTAATGAGGGGCAGATTTTCTTTAGTGGTATGACCACTAGAAAGTCACCCATGCTTCTGTTAGTATCCCTAAATAAACCTATTGAGTGATCAAGAAGAAAAATGACAATTTCAACGAGGAAGATCATGGGAGAGGACAAGAGAAAATGGTATGGGGGGAATATGATCAAAATACTTTATATACATGTATTAAAATGTCATGATGAAGCCCATTATTATGTATGGTGAACATGTTAATAAAAAACACTCTAAAGTATGTACCTATTTGGTTCTGAATGCTCATGTCCCTCCAAAACTCCCATGCTGAAGCCTTAGTCTAAAAGGGGGAACCTTTAGAGATGGAAGTTTGGGAGGAATAGTATAGAAGCAAGGTCATACAGTAGATTTTAAGATGATTCCCATGGTATTGGTGTCTTTTCTGCAAGGAAAAAAATATCAGAAGAGCCCTCCCCCAACACATAGTGAGGTCAGTGTTCTAGAACGTGCCATCTGTAAACCAGAAGAGCGAATCTCATCAGATAACTGAATCTGCCTTGATCTTAAGACTTTCGTCTTGTAGATTCATGAGAGGTGAGAAATTACCCACTCAGTCTTTGATTTTATTTTTTAAATTTCCATTTAAAACATCAGTTTATTAGAAACAGCTGGGAAGTCAGTTAGACTTGGCCCTACACTTCAGGTCATCCAAGAATTAGAAGAGCCCTTGATAACACTTAGGAGCTTACCTGCCTGTGGCCTTACTGTTCTAGGGGGCAGCCTCACAGGCGCCCACATCCAGCAGCAATCAGAGGATGTAGTGGGGCCACACCCACAGCTTGCCACCCTACTGTGGCACTCTCCCAGTGGACCCTAAGTCCCCTGGGAGGCCACTGTTGATAATGACAACCAAGCCCCGCAGAGAGTACCCATCCCTGAGGAGGGGGAGGATGTCAAAGGCATGCTTGATATGCACACAGTCGTGAATGTGTACATTGCTGGGCTATGATGAGATGCTCCACAGGAAGGTGTGGGATGAGCTTTGCAGAAGCTCTTGGTGGCACAACACCAGGCATCCTGCACCAGTTCCTGCCGGGTTTCTTTGCTGGGGTGCAATCCTGAAGGTTCCTGTCACTGATCTGCACATGGTCAGTGTTCCACGTCCCCCAAAGCCTGATGTCAGAGGCCTCTGTTACCACCCTTGTGACTGTCTCCTACTCAGTCATCCTGGGGACACAGCTAGGACATCTCTGGCACAGATGGCAGAGCTGGTATTTTGCTAAGGTGTGTGACAGTGGCTTTGGATCTTGTTTATCGTTTGTTCTCTCTCTGAGGCAGAGTCTCTGCAAAACCAGGTTGGCCTACACACTGGATGCTACTGCCTCAGCCTCCTGAGTAGCTGGGATTAAAGCACCACCTCAGCTTAACTGTGTGGTCTTAAGTTCCATCACCTCCCCAGACTTTGTTGACTCACCCATAAAGTAAGGGCAGTAAAGAGTAAGTGCTCAGGACTGAGGAAATGGCTCACTGATCAAGAGTACACACTGTTCTAGAGAACCCAAGTTTAGTTCCCAGCACCCACTCAGGTGACTCATAACTCCCGTAGCTCTAGCTTCAGGGAATCTTACCTCCTCAGGTACCTGCAATATTGTGCAGATAACCCCACACAAGACACGCATTAAACATAAAATCTTGAAAAATAGAAAATAAAGCATTTTTAAATGACGAACCATCCATCTCCATGGCTCATCCTGAAGGATCTGAACAAGGCCTAAGTGGCGGGTGCCTGGCGTGGGTAAGCATACAGGGTGTGCTGGGCACTGGAGATGCAGCTTCATGACTAGGAGCACTCGTTCTTCCAGAGGACTCAAGTACGATTCCCAGCACCAACACAGAGCAGGTCACAGCTGCCTGCAAATCCAGCTCCAGGAGATTCCAACACTGCCTTCTGGCTTCCCAGGACACTGCATTCATGTCCACATACTACACACACACACACACACACACACACACACACACGCACACACACACCCTCCAGAGGTCAACAGAAGCCAAGGTCCATCTAGTTCTCCATAGCAAAGGGCAGATATGAAATTCCCTCCCCTCCTACTCTTAAGGGGATTCATCAAGCCAACCCTGCATGCCTGGGCCGCCCCCTTCACGAAGGGTGAGAACTGGACATAGCTCAGTGGTACAGCCATAGCTTGACACAAGTGAAGCCCCAGGTTTCATCTCAGCACCACAAAACAAAGAAAAACAAAACCAACAACAAAAACCATTTCTGCCTAATGAAGACAACATAGAAAACATCACACCGTTTTATTTTCAATTGCTACCCCAGTTCCACGAATTTGCTGCTAACAACCTGATGGATTGTTTCTCTATACCCCTGGGCACCTGAATTGTCACAAATGCCCATCTTAAACCAGTGGCTTTTCTCACAGTCCCTGGGCACACCTCCCTATCCACCCTGGGTCTCCAGTCACTGGGAAGGCACCAGGCAGGCTGACCAGCAGTACCTGCCCGCAGCTGTGCCCTCATCCCTGACCCATCCAGGAGAAAGAAAGAAAATGGAGGGACTCAAAATCAACCAGTTCCTAAAGCACAACGTAACATTAGCAAGGCGGCCTGGGAGCATAGCATCCCCTAGCAGTCCCCACCAGTGCCCCCCCACCCCCAGCTGTTCCCAGTCCCCAGCTGTTCCCCAGTCATTCTTTTTCAGATCACTGCTGCTCCAGGCATTTTCCCAACCCTCTGTCAGGATTTTGACAGCATGGTGGGATTATATAGAATTAACCAGAAAAGGAAAGCATCTATCCCCCCTGAAAGTTGTGGCTGATGCATAATCCAATGAGATGAGCATCAACGATACTGACCCTCCAGACCCCATCCCCAGCCTGTCACACGAGTCCTGCCTACACCTCTCAGGACACATGGTTTCTAGATCTTCAAGGCTACAAGTTCCATGAAGATGGCCAAGTGTTTTATGACAACAGCAGATTCTACGGCTCCTCAGATGGCAGCCGGGGCTGGCACTGAGGGCACCACCAGGTAAGCCTCTGGAGTCTACCAGGGGGCCCAAAGCTCTCCTTCATAACCTGGTGACCAGAAGGACACTGCTCCTTCTTGTAGATCTGTGTGTGCTGTTCCTTGCCTTGGAGTTTGTCCCGCAGCCAATCTGAACTGAACTCCACCACATGATTCACGAGGGCCTCTAGAGAGGAAGAACTCAGGAGCGAACCGAGAGAGAGAGGATGGATCCCTGCTCTGAACAAGGCTTCGTTCTTTATAATGTTCCCTGGAAACAAAGAGAGACATGGGGTTAGGAAACACTCTTGTCTACAGAACCTCAAACTCATTATGGAGCCTAGGCTAAACTCCTGATCCCCCTGCTGCCTCCATCTTCCGAGTGTTGAGTTAAAGATGCGTGCTACCACACTAGCTAGCAAACTAAGTTACAACGACGAGTGGAGACCAGCTTGCTGGCCACCGAGCAATGACCTTGCTAAGGAGAGGAGAGTGAGCCCGATGACACAAGGTGGCAACGGATGAAACAGTTGTGGTTCCTCCCCACTCCCCCAAGAGTTTCACAATTGCACTTCTAGTTACAGGTTCTCTGGGAACTTGAGTGGCCGGCTCCCTGGACTCAGCTCAGCGCTGCCTCTCACCAGATAGGTGCCCTTTGCTTTAATTTCCTCATCTCGATAAAAGAGAAAGCTAACAAGCGATTATCTCACGGAGTAGCATGAGGCCAGGGCCGTGTGCCTGGGTCGCTGGAGTCACATGAGTCGCACTGGCTGTCACCAGTATCGTTGTGCAGTCAGCTCTCCGTATACCCCCGAAAGCTGCTTCTAGAAGCCTCGTTGCTCCTCTGGCATAGAAACTGGTTCTCCCATGAAAGCACAAGGCTTTCCCACCTTCCCATAGTGAGCCGCACCCATGGCAGGCAAAGTCACACTTTGTAAAAGGGCACAGTCCTGCTAACAGCAACTGCTGGAGCGGCCAGCTGTGCAGCACTTACTGCTTGCTCTCCTGAGAGCAGTAAGAAGGCCGCCCTCCCTGGACCTAAGCACAGCACACTCCTTGTCTCGACTGGAAATGCTCAGTTTCACCACTCAGTTCTCCAAAGCAGAGACCTGCTTTTTTCTCGTGCCTTGTAAGAGCTGGGAGCTGACCTGATGTTTGCCTCTGGTTTGAGAGCAGGAAGCTCCATCACCCAAGATGTGTAGGAACACACCTTCCTTTCTTCTGATGGCCTTAAGGACAACCATTCACAGCATGTCATGACCCTGAATCTTCTATATGCTCCGGAGGTCACCAGGCTTTAGAGGAAGCCAGGTATAAGACATTATCACTGTGTTAGGTGATACTAATACGCCATCAGGAGGCTCACAACTGACAGTCCTGTCATGTCAGAACACAGTTCAAGAACAGAGTCATGTGAGGAGAATTCTGAGTACTGTGAGAAAACTCAACACACACACACACACACACACACACACACACAAAATACAAGAGTCTTGTGGCCTCAGTTTCTTCAAAACGGAGTTCTTGGAATGTGTGTTCATGCGCCCCTCAGGTACAGGGGATAGAAGTGTGTTTACTTCATTGTTCATTACAATTGCTATTATGATTCGTTCAGGCCTCTGTATAAAACCATGTTTTTACGCCCTATGGCTCGTCCTCATGATTGTATACAACTTGAACTCATGAGAACGTCACTTGGGTGACCCCTCTTAGCCCTCAGAGTCAAGCTGTCTGATGCTCTGAATAAATTTGGCTATTGCATGAAACTTCAGTCTGTCTCATTCACCGGCTCCATTTACCCAGGTCCCTCCCACTGCCTCTAGAGCAGTAAACACTATCATGTGGGTGCTGGGCTGTGGCAAAGATGAGCAGCCAGTGGTTGTGTCCCACCCAGTTCCTGGCCGCCTGGCTAATCCCCGAAATAATTACATGGAAACTGTATTCATTTAAACACTGCCTGGCCCATTATTTCTAGCCTCTTATTGGCTAACTCTCACATCTTGATTAACCCATTTCCATTAAATCTGTGTAGTACCACGGAAGCTGTGGCTTACCGGGAAAGATCCTAACCTACGTCCATCTCCATCTCGGGCCGGAGATTCATGGCATCTGCCTGACTCTGCTTTCTTCCTCCCAGAATTGTGTTCTGTCTACTCCACCCACCTAAGGGCTGGCCTATCAAAAGGCCAAGGCAGTTTCTTTATTAACCAATGGAAGTAACACATAGACAGATGACCCTCCTACACCACTGGGCCAGACAGAGAAGTGAGGGCCACCTAATCCCACCTCTGAGTCTAAAATCTAGGGATGATGAGCCAACCTCAAAACCAGGAGTGTCGGCACAACTGGGATAGGAGTCCTCAAGTCTTGACTACCCTACACATGCGTGACTTTCCCATTAATCAACTCTGTGGGGTTCTCTCCCATTGCACGAGTCATACCTAGTCCTGAAAAGTATCTCTGGTCCAATAGTGTATAGCATACAGGCTGAGCCTGGCTCAGAGCTTCCAAGGCTTGTCCTCGATGGAATTTATCAGACAAGATGTCGCAGGTGGGCTCAACCTCTGGGGGAGGACTCCACGACATCTGGCAACTATAAAATGCCAGGAAGCCACCACCATCAAAATGGAGCACCAGCCTGTGAAGACAGAAGGGATCGTACATACAGTGTTCTTATGTACAATGAGATCATCCATTAAAACCACCAATGTACAGTCAGTTCATGATATATAAACAGACCCCTATAGAGTCAGTTCACATGTATGTATAGTTATAATATAATCATCTCACACATACAGCAATCAATGTACATCATCATATAGTTACCCCATGTAATTATGTCACATGTACATACAATGACCACTATGTAGGTCACATTTACACACAGTTACCATGGGACAGATCACACATACACACAATTTCTACTCGACAGCAGTCAGGTAGACCGTACATTAAGTTTCTAGACTAGTCTGGATCAAACTGGGAAATTAAGGCTCCATGGTCAGAATCATAAACATCTCAGGGCCAAATGGAATGAAGTAAAACATGCATATATGTTGTTTTCTAATTACGTTATAGCAATACATGTTTGACAGACAGAAACATGAAAAGCTGTAAGTCTGAGTCCAGGTTAGTGGAAAACTAAGCAGAGGTGGGCAGGTGCATTAGGGAGCAGATGAAGAAATGGTGGCCAAGAGGGCACCACTCCCAGTTTCAGGCTGGATTAGCCTAGATATGTGTGTGTGTCTCCTACACACCCTGAGCCTTTTGGATGTAAGGACAGAAAAGACACCTCACACACTTTGGTAAGGAAATAATGGGATACTTTGTAGGGACAGCTAACCCAACAGATCTGTCTCCACAGCGGAAGTAGGAGAACCTGGGTCCACGTCTTCTTGGGAAGAGCAGAGGAAACTTCAAAAAGCTAGGAGGTGGGCACGGTGGTAATGCCTGTAATCCCAGCACTCAGAGAGGCTGAGACAGGAGGATTATGAATTCAAGGCTAGCCTAGGCAATATAGGAAGACCCTTGTTATAAATAACACAGCAATATTTCTTCCTTTCTTGTTTTCAATGGTCAGAGCCAACAAGTTGGCTCAGAGAGTAAAGGTGTTTGCCATCAGCCCTGATGACTTGAGCTTGATTTCCAGGACCACATGCTCCAGAACCCACCCACAGAATCAGCTGCTGCAAGTTGTTCTCTGATCTCAACACAATATGGCTTATGTATACACTCACTCACTCTCTCTCTCTCTCTCTCACACACACACACACAATGAATAAGTAATAAAAAAATACTCTTTCGGGGATTGGAGGTAAGGCTCGGAGAACTTGCTTAGCAACAATGCACAGTGTCACAAAACAACCCATCAAACATAAACTAGAGTACCTGTGTGACTCACTGGAAGTGGAATCTTTTGCTAAAAGGCAAAGTTACACATGACCATTGACCATAAAAACTTAAAAACCCTGAATACCAAAATGCTTTATAAACACACTCAAAGGATGCACACTGGCCTGGAAATAATCCTGACAACACAGGCTACTAGACTTAGTATCTCAGAGTTTAAAGAATTTCAGCAGGAGGATGCTGAGTTGACGTAGCAGGCTTGCTATGAAACCCTAACCTGAGTTTGATTTCCAGGACCCACAGTGAAAGGAGAGAATCAGCTCCCAGAAGCTGTCTTCTGACCTTCACACTGGGGTGTACACGCATACTCATGCAATAATAATGAAATAGATACTTTTTATTGCTAGCATGTATACAAATAGCCCAATGCCAGTAAGGATTGAGCAAATCCAGCCATGAGAATGTTCATTCCCTTCTGGAAGCAACTGGGAACTGACTCTAAGGAAATAATCCTATACATAAGCTTTATACACAAACACAGTTCTCAGTGTTCACAAACCAAGTAAGAGTCTAGACACACTTTTCTTCTGAGTCAGTTCATCCTCAAGTCTCATGCTGACTGGAAACCCACTCTATTCTTTCAGTGACCCAGGTAGTTAGAATCTTTTGGAGGGGGGCTGGAGAGATGGCTCAGTGGTTAAGAGCATTGCCTGCTCTTCCAAAGGTCCTGAGTTCAATTCCCAGAAACCACATGGTGGCTCACAACCATCTGTAAAGAGGTCTGGCGCCCTCTTCTGGCCTTCAGGCATACAGACAGAATATTGTATACATAATAAATAAATAAATAATAAATAAATATTAAAAAAAAAAGAATCTTTTGGAGGGCAGACCACAGTCCAATTCTTAAGGGTGAATATACACCTCTTTCTTGCTATGGAATAATCCTTTCTCATATACTGTAAAAAAAATTGTCACTTGAATGGGTTCAGTAAAAAGTTGACTGGCCGTAGCCAGTCAGGAAGCATAGGCAGGACAACCAAACTAAGGATGTTGGGATGAAGAAAGGCAGAGGCAGAGGAATCGCCAGTCAGACAGAGAGTAAGCAGGACATGCCAGAGAGGTAAATACCATGAGCCTTGGGGTAGCACAAAGATGAATAGAAATAGGTTAGTTTAAGTTGTAAGAGCTAGTTAGTAATGAGCCTGAGCTATTGGTCAAGTAATCATAATTAATAATAAGGCTGAAAGGTTATACGGGAGTGGGCGGGTGGGACAGAAAAACTCCACCTACAGACTCTGCTTCCTGGATAGCAAGGTCTGGCCATCACCAAGTGCGACTGTTCAGCCACTGCCTTGCCACAGAGGGGACCGTATGAACGCTGCAGACCCTATTAGGACCCCTGTCAATGTCACATCATTACCTGGGCACAGGGTCTCTCCAGTCACCTCTCTTGTTAGCTTTCTTTGCTCTGGAGAAGTCGTTCACCCAGATGCTGCCAAACAAACCAAATCTGACCTCCAGCCACCTCTGGGCAACTGCTAACAGGCTGTGCCCCCCAGGACCACAGGGGTCATCAGATCCACTAGGCACAGGCTCCCCAGATCCAGAGGGGCCTGCAGAAGTTTCCTGAGCATGGGGCCCCAGGGCCAGCTCCGGGTTCTGGGCCTCTTTCTGCCACACTCTTTGCACAGGCTGTGGGCTGCTGCCGAGTAGCTCCATCTCCTCCTCTGGATCAAACCGAAGGAATAATTGTTTTCCATGCACCTAGCAAAACAAAACGACGACAATAAAAAATGAACATGTACTGATCCTTAGAGCCCTACACAGGCGCCAAAGCTTCACAGATAGCTGCCAACAGTCTGGATCCTTCTCGCCCAAAGCTTGTCCTAGCACAGAGGATTTCTTTGTCCTTTGCTCTTCTGTAACAGTGGTGTCAAAAGAGGTGAATGGCTTTCCAAATGCCTGAAGGTAACTGGAGGAGCTGGATTAGTGATGGGATAGGTCAATGTCGGACAGCACAGTCACCCAGAACATCCAAGGACAGATGTTCCCAAAGACTTCAGGACCTCACTAGAGATTATCCAAGTGCTCATTCATTTAGCTGCTCCTGACTCCATGACACATTTTTCTAGGCTAGAGTGAACCGGCATGTACACACTCGGCTGGACCACAGCTAAAGAAACAATGTCATAAAACCCAGAAGGATTACCCTACCCAGCAAACTGGACCTGGAAAAAGTTACCAACCACAGGAGAACTCACAAACAAAACAAAACAAAACAAAACAAAACAAAGAACTATATAATCCGATGGGTGTGATGGCTCACGTCTGTAATCTCAACACTAAGGAGGCTGAGGCAGGGGGATTGAGAGCTCAAGATCTGGGCCACTGAGATGGCTCAGTGAGTAAACTCAAGTCAAGCAGGTGAGACAAGGCATCCCTCTGTGAAACGGGAAGCAGGTACAGGATGCTGACACATACGGTATAGCTGAGACGCAGGGACCTGCCCTGTTGAATCCCACCCACTCTGACCCTAGACAAGCCCGAGGATGGGAGGCCTCAAGAACTTGGCAGAGGGAGAAGAGCTTGAGGCTGGTGGCTAAGTACAGCCGGTTGAGCCTGTAACACCAGCACTGGGAGGTGGAGCCAGGAGAATCCCTGGCACTCACTGGTCAGTTAGTCTAGCCAAGTGGTGCGCGCCACACTCAGTGAGAGATACTGTTTAAGAAGATAACGTGAGAACTTCTGTGGGGAAACCCCAACAGCAACTGATACCCTCCACATGCACAAGTATACTCATGCATGCATCCTTGTACATGTTATATTCTACACACACACACGTGCATACACACACTCGCACAGTCTTCTCCCCTGAAGTATCTATATATCTATATTCTCTAATCTTCTAGGACCATCCCAAGTCCCGTCTCTTTCAGGACAGAAGGACCCTTTCATGTCAAGGCATTACTGGGCCTTAATTACAGCTATGATTCTCTCCATTTAGTATTGCTGGGCAGTTTTCTTATTAAAATACAGTCTACCTAAATCTATATCCCTTGGATGAAAAATCCCTAGGAGTACCATCAGGCAGTCCCAGGCTCAGGTCTCCCTAGGGTTTCTACAGCATGGATGTCTCCTCTGTTTCCTATAAAACAGGATCCACTCCATCACCAGATTCCCTACCATATATTTATCTGTTTCCAAATCTATTCAGTGATGAGTAAGTGCCAGCTCTCATTTTAAGTGCTGGGGGACCAAAGCCATGGGACCCAAACAGGGACAGTCTCTACAAAGAGCCTGAAGTCTGGAAGACCTGAACTCTTAAACTTGGACAATTCAGAGTTTCAGTTTCCAGTGATGAACTATATGGGAAGGGCTATGAGACATCTTCCACTTAAAAGATGATCCTGTAGCCTATGAGGAGCATGTGTACACATGTGCGTGCACATATATAAAATGGAAGAGAACTCACAGTCTAGCAGGGACTAGTATTTTGTGTGGGGTATAAAGTCTATTCTTACAAAGGTTTTAACAAACAAGTGTATCTTAGTCTGTGTTCTATTGCTGTGAAGAGACACACTGACCAAGGCAACTCTTATAAAAGAACACATTGAACTGGTAGCTTGCTTCAGTTTTAGAGGGTTAGCCCATAATCATCATGGCAGGGAGCAGACAGGCATGGTGCAGTATTGGGGAGCTTTACATCCTAATGCAGAGACAGGAGAGAGAGAGAGAGAGAGAGAGAGAGAGAGAGAGAGAGAGAGAGAGACAGACAGACACTGGGCCTCGCATGGGCTTTTGAAATCTCAAAGCCCACATCTCCAACAAGGCCTCAGGTCCTAATCTTTCCCAAGAGTTCTAGTCTCTGATGACCAAGTATTTACATATCTGAGCCTATAGGGACAATTCTCAATCAAACTACCACAAAGGGTTTTACGCCCCATATACAATTGAAGAAATGAGAACAAAGACAATGAGAACTTGCTTCTGATCACACAGCTAAGCAGGAGCAGCAGAGACCAATTGCTACTGTACAAAATTCACCCCACACCTCCTACGCGCAGATGCTCGTAGCTAAGCAAGAAGAATACAAGATTGACAAGAACACAGCCTTGCCCTGTTTCTGTCTCTGTACACACCACAAAGGACAGGCGTGGCAATAAGGATGCACCAGGAAGAAGTTGAGGCTATTGCAGAAGTACAGAGGGGGGGGGGGTCATCTCTCAGCTAACGCAAAGCAGACAGGATAGCGTGGTCAAGTGGAATCTGAAGAGAGGCTAACATTGCCATGGTAAACTGAAGAGGCAGGAGCGGAAACGGTTGAGGAAAAACAAGGAGGATGTGCCCAACCAGGGGGAAACATGTCTACACTGTGGGCAAGAACTAACCGAACTAGCACACGCAAAGAAAGACTTGGCTAGGTGAAAGGCAGGAGAGACAGGCAGGGAGGGGCCAGTGCACATGGAGTCCCTGAGGCCCCTGAAGGAACTCTGACTCCCATTCAGGATGAGAAAGTGTGAATCCCAAATCTTCAACAGTGCTCATTCCTTCCTTCACAGCTGGCCTGCAGGGGCCAGCAGAACCACACCAGAGACGTAGGTAAGAAAGAAGAGACGTTCTCCAGATTACGCATGCAACCTTCAGGCCCCTTTTTTGTATGTTCTTTACGGGCCCCAGTCCACAGTGACGGGAAACATCACACTGCAGGGACACATGCAGTCCTAGCACTGCTGAAAGAAAAGATGTCATAAAACATCTTGGCTAAATGCCTGCACACTCGAGATCTGGGGCAAGCAAAACTCACCCGGGCATCCTGGAGCCACAAAGACTGGAAGGAGGCAGGGTTCAGCTTCTTACTGCTCCCTCCTGTCTTGACCACCTTTTGGCCCACAAAAGGGGAGACAAGGCGGTGAAACTTCCTCACAGATGGCCCTTCCGGCATCTCTGCAAGTAGAAAGTGGCACACTGACTTAGCTCGGTCCTCTAGAGCATGTCTGATGGTATGGTACCCCAAGGTACCAGTTTGGGTCACCCACTTTAAGGATGTATGATGTATGTGCCAAAACTGGAGCCTGACTGAGGTAAGAGGGGTCAGATCTCAGAGACAACTGAGTTGGGGCAGGGTAAGGCCCCAGCTTCGGAGCTTTGGTTTCTCTTCCTGGTCCCTCATCCTTATCCATGCAGCAAATATAATCAACATCACATGCTTGACGTCATGTAGCAGGCACGGTCTGCTTCAAAGGCGCAGCCACCTCAGTGGTTGGCCACTCCTTATTCGTTTGGCTTCTTGAGACAGAGTCTCGCTATAGGTGAGCTGGCACTGTGTTGCTCTAGCTGTCCTCAAGACTGACAGCTTTCCTCCTGCCTCAAGCTCCCAAGTGCTGGGATTACAAGCTTGCAACACCTCCTTGTTACTTTTTGCCAGGTATATTAGACCTCGACGTCATCTCCGTGCTTTCTCTTTGTCTTTCCCAATCCCACCCCCAAAGCAATCATTCCAATCCTCTGCTTACTCGCCCATCCTTGGCTCTGGCTCTCTCAGGACCACCCCAGAGGAGGGAGAGATGCACTAGTTATGAGATCAATAACAGTGGCTCTCTCTATAGGACTACAGCGCTGGCAGAGCTCAGAACTGTGACAAGCAGACACCAGCCAGGCAAGGAGGCTACCAACCAGCTTGAGGCCTGATGTCTGATGTCTCTCTGATGGCTGAAAAGCTACAGTAAAGGCAAGGCAGGACAGCCTGTCACCCCTCGCCTCCCTGTTCTCAATCATTCAACGTCACTGAGAGCCACCAGGATAAGACCACCCAAGTGGTCTACATCCTGACTTTACTGAGTGGGAGCTGCCCTCCCCTCCCCCGCAAGGTTCCACCTAACCTTATCTGCCACTCACCGGCCCTGGGCCATAAACTATGGTGAAGATTATCAAAGGCACACAGCAGGCAGTTATTATTTCAGTGTTTCTAAAGGCAGGTTGGTTGTTGGCTTTCTGATGTTTTGTTTTGGTGGTGTTTTTAAGTATCACTCTGTAGCCAAGGCTGGTCTTGAACTCTGAACAATCCTCCTGTCTGAGTCTCCCCAATGTGAGCACTGGAATTACAAGTGTGAGCCACATACAACTCCCTTCCTCCCCTCTCCCCACTAAGACACTTTTTTAAAAAAAATATTTATTTATTATGTATACAATATTCTGTCTACATGTATGCCTGCAAGCCAGAAGAGGGCACTAGACCTCATTACAGATGGTTGTGAGCCACCATATGGTTGCTGGGAATTGAACTCAGGACCTTTGGAAGAGCAGGTAATGCTCTTAACCGCTGAGCCATCTCTCTAGCGACCCCCCCCCCCACTAAGACACTTAAAACAGATTTTAACCGGAAAATTGGGATACCCGAGACATCCCACAAATTCTCATAATTTATAAGCAACACATTCAATAATGCTATTTTTCTTTCCTGTCTTGAGACAGTTTTGCCTATATTCCAGATGCCAAGCTGGCCTACAGCCCTCTGTGTATGGATGGTCTCCACCCCATGGCACTGTGATTCCAGGACTGCTTGGCCACTCCTGGTTAATGTGCACACCCAGGGCATCTTGCAAGCTAAGCAACCCCTCTACCAACTGTGCTAAGTCTTAGGCTTCAGTGCAATATTTAAATTCATCCACACTTGGATTCCCACCCACACTCTTGGAAATGTGGTAAAAGTTCATCTACTCAGACCGTCAGGGGAAACTGCTGGGCTGGAAGGCGGCTTGCTAGACACTGGGATCCTAATTATCTCCCAGCTCAGAGTCCCAGGCCTCCTTCAGAGAAAGTTCTGGAAAAGTCCGCCTGTACAATGCACCGTAATCTTACATTTCTACCGCCTGCCGGATGTGGTAGTGCAAGCCTTTAATCCCAGCAGCCCCAGAGGCAGAGGCAGAAGGATCTCAAGAGAACTAAGGCCAGCCTGGTCTACTTAGCGAACCCAGGCTACTCAAAGATCTGGTCTCAAAACAAACAACAACCCCGCCCACAGGCGTGCTTTGGTGGTCAGGAAAGGGAAGAGAAAATGGGAACCTTGGGCTTCGTTTCTAGGGCGGTGGTCAGGCTGTGCAGGACGTAGTTCCAGCCTCCAGTCGCAGTCTTAGCTGGCTGCGTTTCTCAAATCTTCAGAACGTTTGAAGGGGGAGGGAACACGTGAAGTACAGGAGGGCCCGGGGAAGGCGGAAGGCAACGTGTTCAACAAAAACAAACGTGCCACCCAGCTGCGCGTGACCGGAAGAGACGCTGCTTAACTTTTCTGTAATTGCCCTTTTCACCAAAGGTTAAAAAAAAAAAAAGTGTTGACTACGTGCACGTGTGCGGCCCGGGGAGGGTGAGGAGGAGACCGGGTGCACCCAGACGGGTCCCGCAGAGCTAGCTGTACCCTACGAAACCGGGTCCCAGCGGCTGCAGCGGGAGCGCAATCCGCTCGCGCTTCCCAGTTCCAGACCGGAGACGGTGGTGGGGAGGACACGGATGCGGGGGCGAGGGACGACAAGTTCAGCCTGCGGGAGGCGAGTTGGCCCCGGCGGCCCGGAGCCGAATAACTCTTCCGGGGGGATAGGCGGGAAGCCGCTTCCGGGACTCCAGGGTCCCTGCTCGTCCTGGGTGGGGAGCTGCGGGCTTCTCTCCTGGGAACTCTGGAGATGGGGACCCTCCGAGATGGAGGAGCTGCAAGCTCTTCCCCTGGGGGTGCTGGAGGTGGGGTGCGCCCCGGAACGGAGACCTGCGATCTCTCCTGGAGGAGCTGGAGACAGGGTTCCTCTACTCAGGCTCCTCCCACCGGTAGGAAGGATGCAGCGGTTTTCTTCCAGTGGTAACCACTGGAGACGCAGCTCTCTCCCTGGGCGGCTTCCGCTCTGTTGAGGCAGGCTGGAAGCTTATTCGCCTGCTCCCCAGCACCCACACCCCTCTGTTCCTCCTTCCCCCACGACTCCCCGCGGGCTTGCCAACTCCCAGAGTCTGGGAGAGAGTGGACTGGTACCAAGAAAAGGCAAGCGCTCAGATGCTAATGGTCTTGACATGGTTTAGGCCAAGACAGACGTTTCCGGTCCTCCACACTCTTCTGCGAGGTTTTGGTTTTGTGAGAAAAAGCCTCACAGTATAATGCAGGCTGGTTTGGAACTCACTGTGGCACCCTGGTTACCCTTGAACTCCTGGGTGACCCTCCGGTCTTAGACTTTAAAGTGCTGGGATTTTAAACACAGCACGACTGGCCTGAAAAGCTTTTAAAGAGTGAAGTTAGTTTTTAACTTTATATTATTTTAATAGTGTTTGAATTTTTACTATGTGCTTTAAAAAACTTTTTTCTATTGTGTATTGAAATTTTTATTTGGAAGAATAAAGATGGTAGCGGGTTGTTCAACGATATTTAGGATTTAAAGAAGGGTGGAGCCAGCACTTTCCAGGAAGTTAGCGGACCTTTGGCGAACTCCGAGCAGGCCTACAGGAGGTGGCTAGGGTGTCAGTCCCTGGACCTTGCAACTGAGGGCCCCAGGAGGACCTGGCCAGCACAGGGAAGACAGCTCCTGCTGCAGGTCAGAGAGCAGAAGTAAGGAGAGGAGGCCTCTGACATCCGGAGGGCAAAGGTCCCTTAGGGGCAGAAGGTGAGCTTGAGGGTGCAGCATTTTAAAGAGGGGGGGTCCCTATTGCATACTGGAGTACGCTTTCCCACTTTCTGCAGCTGGCCTCTTCGGAGAATCACATCTGCTACAGCATTCAGTGCACTCCGGTGGCAACTTCCAGAGGGCGACATGCACGCGTGCGGGACACACACACACACACACACACACACACACACACACACCACATTTTGTAGACGGACTGTGTTGGATAGAAGCCATAGCCCAAATCCCGCCTTATCTGGTGGAATCAGAGCTGTGCACCTAAGAGGTCTCTTCTGAGACCGAGGGACGCTACAGCTGAGAAAGTGAACCGTTCACAATTTGCTGCTGTCACTTAAAATCGCCATTTTAGTTTACCGAGCACACGCTGTGTGTGTAAGACACCTTGAAAAATCTTTACGTAGACTGCCTTGTTGTTAGCTGTGGGAAAACAAGCCAGCCACAATACCTAAATCTAGTGTTTAAATGGGACATCTATGCCACAGCGTTACAGACATAAAGCTGTATTTCGCACTCTAATGTGTGTATGAGTCACTTGGAAACGTTTAAGTGTTGATTAATCTTTGTTGTAAAACATGATTGCAAATATGTAAAAATGTTTTGATAAAGTTGTCGATGTCTAGCCTTTAGTGGTGCTCAATAAGCGGTAATGTTTTTGAGTAGAAAAGTTGGGTTGGGGTTGACCTCGAATTTAACAGCTGGAAAACCAGCAATAACGGATGTGGAAAGTGAGACGAGAATGCCTGCGCCCCCCATGTGGTGAATGTGTGAACTGCAATCGCAGTGCTTCCTTGTTCTCCAGGCCTCGCGAGGGGAGGAATTGAGTAAATGCGGTCTTTCTCCCACCAACTGTGGCCATAAGGAAGTTCTCTGGATGGCAACATTAAAGCATTTGGACCATCAGATGGTCCCTGAGACCCCTATAATCTAAATTTCCTTTTTCATAGCTAGATAGTCTTCAACTCTCCCAGGCTAGCTGTTGGACACTCATTCTTAGCAACTGAACCCCTGTAACCCCACTGAACTCTCATAGGCTTGTACCTCCAGAAAGGGATGCAGGGATTGGCAGAAATTATCCAACCTCCATTAAGATAACGCTCCATTTGTCCCACCAAGTGTTAGGGCACCCTAGACACACTTGAAATGGTAAATCTGACAGACAGCCTTCCAACCCCAGACTTTACCAGAGACAAAGAACTCAGGCTGGTCTTGAACGTGTGAGCCTCCTGCCTCCACCTTGTGAGTGCTGGGGTATCAGGTTTATCTCACACCTGGTTTATGCAGTGCTGAGGGTCGAACCCAGGACTTCACGCATGCGAGGTAAGCACTTTACTAATGAAGGTAAAGCCCCCGTCTAAACCTTTCTCCTTTATGTCTGTTGTCTCAAGGTTAATTATGGCGAGGGAAAGATGACAAACACACTCAGTACGCCAAGCATTGTGTACAGGGGTTCCTCTTAATAATTCTCTGGCCCCATTTGGTGCATATTCAGTGATGAGAAACTTGTGGCCATTGTCATCAACCCAACCACACCCGGTCACAGCTAAGCTGCCTCAGAAGCTGGGGCCAATGTATATCCTATGGACTTAACCTGGCTCCCAGAAGGCTTTATCAGTCAGAAGTGTGACCATAAAGTCATGTGATTTGTTAGTAGACTTGCCCTTTGAGAAAGTGACTTATCCTAATGACATCATTTTGTACCCTCTCTCTCGCTTCTTCGTCCTCCCTAACATGTACTAACAATTTGGACATGCATCTTTGTTGTTGATGATGACTGAGATAATGTTCACCACCAGGCCCGTCTGCATCTTTTATAGTCTCTTGGATACAGCAACTCAGGCTTCCTTAAGGATTGCAACAAGTCTGGTGATCAAAGAGGCCAAGTTACCGTAACTAGAGAGAGGTCCAGTCATGACTGTATGCAGAAAGAGGTGTCTACTGAGACAATATACAATTTTGTTCTGAAATACATTTCTAAAGAGACGTGATGTATGCAGGGTAGTGGTGGCACACTCCTTTAATCCCCGTACTTGGGAGGCAGAGACAAGCAGGTCTTGAGTTCAAGGCCAGCCTGGTCTACAAAGCAAGTTCCAGGATAGGCTCCAAAGCTACAGAGAAACCCTGTCTCAAACAAACAAACAAACAAACAAACAAACCAAACCAAGCGATGTGAATCTTTTAAAGAAAAATGCCCTAACAAGACCCATGGACCTCTTTGGCCGACAATTTGGAACCTCTCTTCTTACTAGGACTCATCTTACCTGATTGACAGAAACTCTCAGTTTAATGGGTTTGGCTATTCTTTTAAGAGTTGGTGGGCTGGAGAGATGGCTCAAAGGTTAAGAGCACTGGCTGTTCTTCCAGAGTTCCTGAGTTCAATTCCCAGAAACCACATGGTGGCTCACAACCATCTATGAGATCTGGTGCCCTCTTCTGGTGGGCAGGTATACATGCAGACAGAATATTGTATACATAATAAATAAATAAATTTAAAAAAATCACCAAAAAAAATTTATTAAAAAAAAAGAGTAAGTTTTTCTTGGGCCAGTAGGATTTGCTCACTTGAGCCAGGCTGTGGTGGTACACACCTTTCGTCCCAGCACTTGGAGGTAGAGGCAGGTGGATCTCTGTGAGTTCGAGGTCAGCCTGGTCTAGTGAGTTCCAGGACAGCCAGAGCAACACAGAGAAACCTTGTCTTGTCTTGGAAAAAAAAAAAAACCAGGGCAGGGAACTCTGACTGCTCTTTGGACTGGAAAGGGAGGGGGAGAGGAGTGGGGGGAGGGGGAGGGAAATGGGAGGCTGGGAGGAGGCAAAAAAAATTTAAAAAAAATAAAATATAGAAAAAAAAACAGTTCATGAGCACAGCACTTGCCACACAAGCCTGACGACCTGAGTTTGAACCCTGGACCATGTAGAGGTGAAAAAGAGAGAAGTAACTCCCAAACGATCTTGTGACCTCCACTGGTGTGCTGAGGCATGTGTGCCCCTCTGCCTGCCCCTTCATACAATCAACTAGATAATTTTGAAAATGCTTTAAAATATTTTCTGGTTTTACATAGAATAGTGTGTGTGTGTGTGTGTGTGTGTGTGTGTGTTATTACTACTAGAAAATAACCGGAATGCCATGAGATCTGAGGCCCTAGATGCCTGGCAGATGTGGCATAAGCAGGTCCTGAAGGTGGGTGATATGTAAGCCCAGCCATGCCGCAGGGATCAAATGACACACGATTGCTCGACACATGGTCTTAGGATCAATGATTGCTCCGCGCTCCTTGTGTTTCTGAGGTGAAGCAGATCGGCAGGTGTGACCTGAGGATAAGCAGACAACCGTCTTTGTCTCACTGGGGTATTTGTCCCTTGGGGGCCACTCAGGATGTGTCCTGCATCGGGAGACAGGAGAGACCGAGGACCATTCAGTTAAAGGAAGCACAGGCACTAAGGCAAATGCTCTAAAATGTCCCCACTCACAGGGGATAGCTATGTGAGAAGGTGAGGACAGGAACTTCCGCTCCAGCTGCTCCCGCCCTCTCCAGGAAGCTGAACCTGTCCTGAGATCTTCCAACTCCAAGGTGCCAAGTGCCAAAGCCGCAAAGGGGGAACTGGATAGAGACAGTCCCTGTCCTTTGGTCTACTAAAAAGGGCGTGAGCCTCAGGACATCTAGAAAAGAATTCCAAGGGCAAGAGGAATACAGATAAATTTATTAGTTAAATACTGATTTTACAGCCATTTCACCTTAAGACAGTGTTAACAGGTTGTGGAGGGGGAGGCACGAGAGGGCAGCCTTCGGGGAGCAAACGGTGTAAAGGAGGATTACAACAATCTTGGTTCAAAGCTATTCTCTGCTACGGCCAGTAACGTTTCGGGGTGGGGGCTGGGAGTTTGGGGTACAATGGATCATGCCATAGTTGGCTACAGCTCTGTGGGTGATGAGGACGAGGAAGGATCTTTGGGGGCCCCAGGAATGGGGGAGGGGAAGAAGGCCAATTCTAGGAGAGCTACAAGCATGGCAATCCCATCAGGCTTCCATCCATCTTCCATCAGTCACCTTTGTCCTTCTGCAAATCTCCTTCGGTTGTTCCTGCTTTGAATTTGTCTTGCAAACGCTCTGGGTTTCCTAGACAAAGGACCCGGGCTGGAGAAAGGCCCAGATCCAGGTGACTATTTGACTTGAGAAAGGCCATGGCCTGGCAGGCTCAGAGCAAGCTCAGAGCAAGCAAGCTGAAGCCCTGGGAACAGGGTTGTGCTGTAGACACAACCTCCAGAGGGATCCAAGGGGCAGATGAGTGTAGTCACCAAGCTGCTTCCATAGCAGGTTTTGTTCCTCTGTGGAACCCCTGTGTGTGAAGGGGTTAAAAAAGGATGCTAGGCGCAGCACCCCATGGCCCTAGCCTGCTACACAACTGAGCTCTAGTTCTGCAGAGGATAGGAGATGTTCAGGCTGGAGAGCAAGGGTTTAATGCCGGAGTTCCTGGGAGAGGGGGAAGGGAAGGCTCGACAGCTGGACTGGGATCTGACGCATACCCTGTGTGATGGGTGATGTGCCTTCGCCACCACCGTCTCCCCAGGGAACATTCAGTAACATCTGCACTGCACCCGCGCTTCTGGAGTCAGATCTGGTATGGGGCATGCAGGGATATGCCATGCCTCAAGGGGAGTGTTGGACAAGGGCAGGGCTGCCACGTCCAGTCCACATCAAGTAGACACCCTGCACAGGCTGGAGACAGTGTCTTGAAGCCTGGGACCCTACAGCCACCTGAGGAGCACAAAGAAAAAAAGAACCCACTACCTAGAACCACTGGGGTGGAGAGTTAGGGTGAAGGAGATTAGGTCTCTGTCCTGGACAAGCAGGTGGAGACTACGAGAAAGAGTTCTCCTGCTCCAGGGAAGAGCCTCATTGGGCCACACTCGCGCGAAGATGGGTGTGTCTCTA